GGTGTGTTCTCACTAGTTGCCATGTAGTCAAAGCATTTAGAAATATGTCTGAGGTGGCAAGATTTGGATTCTTAAGAATGCCAGTCTTTTCAACCAGCTAGTACAGAGGTTAGAAAGCTTCTTCTGTAAAGGGCCAGATACTAAATACTTTAGACTTTGTGGGTCATCAGGTCTTTGTCACAACTACTCAACTCTGCTGTCATAGCATGAAAACACCCATAGGCAATGTGTAAAGGAATGAGTGTAGTTGTATTCTAATAAAACTTTACTTATAGACGTTGAAATTTGACCTTCGAATCATATTCACCTTATTAAACATTTTCTTCTTTTGACTTTTTTCAATCATTTAAAAATGTAGAAGCCACCCTCATTTCACAAACTGTACAAAAATAGACATCAGACTGGATTTGGCCCGTGAGCTGTCGTTTGTCAGCCCTTGACCTACAACAGCCATTATTTTTCTCCTACATATTACTTTCTGACTACACCATTTCCCCCTGTGCTGTGTCATGGTTTTGAAGCCTCTCTGCCCCTTCTCTCAGCTGAGACTCGCGTATCCTTTGGCGAATCTATGCTTCCTGCCCTCATGTAGCTCATCAGGGAAAATCAGAATACATTCTACCTAAAAGAACCGTTAGGGCAAATTCAGATAACGTCCCTCCTCTCCTTTTTGTGCCTGGCTAGTTTGACATATAATAGGGGCATATGAAGGGGACAAACAGACTCTGACAAATGGTTCTGGTTTCTGCAGGGCTCCAAGTTTCTAATAAACAGTAAATGCAACCTTAGAGATGGCGAGAGTCTGATTTTTAGATAATCACGGATATTTATATCCTTTTAATAGGCTGGTACCATGGAGTTCTGTTCCAGCACAAAATTGAGAGTCACAGAGAGGCCTGAATAATCAGTTTGATGTTATCTCTTAGAAAAGTGGTATATAACAAGGGTATTCAGGCTGAAGTGGAAACTTGGGATAGAAATGGGAGAAGTATAAACATTTTATACCACCCTGTCCTCGATATATTGAAAATGAAAACACGATACAGATTTTTATATGAGGATGTGTTTAAAGGGAAATAATATGCCCTATGTCCTAGGGAAACAGAGCCCGAGAGGACGTTCTCAGATCTGTGGTTCTAGCCCTAATCTGTGGGGCTGCCCTTCAGACCAACTCCTGGCATTTTATTTAGGGCTGTGAAGCAGTGGGGGTGACCCAGGTTGTCTGCCTATATAATGATATTGGTTTGGTTGGTCTGACAGATGCAGTGATTTATGGGAGTGTTTTTGTGGGGACATCTGCTGCTGAGAGCAGCCAGATGAAAGGTGGGAGATGGAAGACAGCAAGGAATAGGAGAGGGGTGGTTGTGCATCAGGCAGGTAAAGACTGTCCCAAGGACAACTGTTAGAACAGAGCTGATACGGAGCCATAGAATAGTAGGAAATGGTACAAGTAGCCAAGGCTTCGGATTGTGCAGATCTGGGCTTGAATCTCCAGCTCTGCCACTAGTTAGCTGAGATTTTAGGAGAGTTCTTCCCTTCCTTGAGCCTCCATTTCTTCATGTATAAAATGGAGATAATAAACACCCTCCTTTCCACCTGTGTGAAATTGTACTAACATAAAAGTCCAAATGGGGTTCCTGGTACATAGGGGAACTCAGTCAGTGGTAGACATTGTTCATGTTTGTCCATACGTCCATTCATTTGTTTATTCACCAGCATTGATTGTGCTTTGCAATTTCTAAGAGCTGTCTTTTTAAATAGATGCCTAATGGTGATTTAGGCAATGCATCTTCTGATCAGGATGAAAGTACATAGTAGTCAACATGTGTTTGTAGGCATATGTGTGAACATCCAGATGCTACATAGGAATTTAGTGGGAACCTGAAGTATGATTAAAAGAACAGCTGCCTGGCCAATAAACACAATAAAAGATAGACAACTCACTAATCAGGGAAAGCACAAAACAAGACCAAAATGAGATATTGCTTCACACTCACCAGATTGGTAAAAATTTTAAAGTCTGACGATACCAAATGTTGTATTGCACTGCTAGTAGGGGTTTAGACTGATATGACTGCTTTGGGAAATGATTTGTCAGTATCTAGAGACCTGAAAATGTGCATATCCTTCTTCCTAACAAATTTTACTCTTAAATACAACCTAGAGAGAATTTCCCACATATAATCAAGGCAATGTGTTCATAACCACATTGTTATAGTAAACGACCTTAGTGTCCATCAGTGGGGTAATGGATCATACTCTAAGTGAGCTAAAGTTACAGGTAGCACCGTAATAGATGAATTTTAAACCATGGTGAATGAAAAAAATAAAAATTGCAGACAGAAAACCATTTATATACAGCTTTAAAACATGGAAAACAATATTAATGTATTGCTTATGGATACATACATATGTAATAAATGTTTAAAAATTATTTAGAATGGTACATATGAAAATCAGAACCGTATTAGGGAAAGGTAGGGGGATGTGATTGGAAGGGTTGCCTAAGGTTCAAATCCCAACCCTGCCATTTACTTACTAGCTGTGTACCCTTAGACAAGTTCCTTAAGCTCTGTGCCTCAGTTTTCAGATCTATGAAAGAAAATAATAATAGTATCTGCTTCACAGGTATGCTTTGAGGATTAAACGAGTAAATATAGGCAAAATGCTTAGAATAATACCCAGCAGATAGTAAGTGCTATATAAGTGTTAGTAATTTTAGTTCCCATTACACAAATCTTTTATCTTTTGTTTTTAAAATCTTAAATATTGCAATTTTTCATTTATAAGTGTTTCAGTATTTATTCCGATAAGGTGAGGACTGTTGTTGAACGTAACTACAATATCGTTATTACTCCTAAAAAAGTAACAATAAATCCTTAATGTCAAATACTCAGTAAGTGCTCAAATTCCAGTTGTCCCATAAATGTGATTAATTTTTTATAGTTTGTTTGGATTAAGTTCCAAACAAGATCCACACATTCTGCTTGGTTGACTTGTCTTTTAAGACATTTTAATCTATAGATTCCTCCTCCAACTTTCCTTTTTCTTACAATTTATTTTTTTAGCTTTATTGAGGTATAATTGATATGCAAAAATTACACACATTTAATTATACATTCTGATGACTTCAAACATATGCATATACTTATGATGCTATTACCACAACCTCTAAAAATCTTCTTGTGCTCCTTTGTAGTTTCTTTTTTTGAGAAGAACACTTAACATGAGATCTATCTTAACATATTTTAAAGTGCATTATAAATATTGTAATTTTTAAAAAAGAAGAGATGTCATCATATAGTTGAAAAGTGAACAAAGATTGAAAATATCAACATAGGAATTTCAGGATGTGGCATAATAATAGTTAGCTACAATCTATTGACCCCTAGATATATTAGGTACTCTACTAATCATTTTATATGCACTCATTTTATCTTTCCCTATGAAGAAGGCACTATTTTTATCCCAATTTTAGAGTTAGGAAGAGGCTTATGAAGACAGTTACTTCCCAAGGTCACACAGTTAGGAGTAGCAAGGCTGGCCAGAGCCCAGGTGAGGATGACTCATGCTCTTGACTGCTAGGCTGAATAGACTACCCAGCCATTGTTCACACTAGCCTCCTCTACACAGGTTCCTACTTTCTTACTGTATCAACTTTTATAAGCAGAGTTGTGCTGTGGTAAGGAACATTCCCACAGTGGGAATGGGGGCATTTCTAATAATAAAGAGTTATTGGTCACTCGTGTTATATATTCATCTGAAGTCAGCTGGGAGCTGTGCTACACAGCTTCTTACTCCAGGACCCCAGAGTACAGCCATGATCTCAAACCCTGCCAGTTGCTAGCGCAAAGAGAGAGAGAGAGACAGAGACACAGAGAGTGAATAAGAACTAAGGAGAGTTTCATACTCACAGTTAAATGCTCTATCCTGAAAGTGACACACAATACCTCCACACACATATCATCACATATCATAGACTAGAGCAGTGGTTTTCAACTGGGGGTAATTTTGCCCCTCCCCCCCCCCAGGGATACGTACCAATCTCTGGAGACAATTTGGATTGTCACAGCTGGTGGAAGTGGGGTGCTAGTGGTGCTATCTAGTAACTAGGGGCCAGGGATGCTGCTTTAATACCCTACAGTGCAGAGGGCAGCGCCCCCCCAACCCCGCCACAGCAAAGAAGTAGTTGGCCTTAAATGTCAATAGTGCCAAGATGGAGAAACTTGGCTAGAGCTAACCACAAGGGGCCAGAAAGTACCATTTTGTGAATCTGTGAGGAAGGAAACCAGAATACTTGACAATTAACACTGATGATCACCATGCATCCTAAAAACCATTATAAAGGCCCTGGAGAAACTATTTTCTATGATGGAAGTGAAGAATGACTTGGAGGGATAGCCATGGGATGAGTCTTCTAACACAGTCAGCTCCATCTAAGGGCAGAGAAGGCCCCGGGACCCACTTCTAAGCTGCTCTTCCTCTGATGTGGCACTGTCCGAAAGAAGTATAATGCGGGCCACATGTACAATTTAAATTGTTCTAGTAGTCACATTAAAAAATAAAAAGGGGCAGGTGAAATTAATAGTATTGTCTATTCAATTCAGTATATCCAAAATACTGTCATTTCAACATGTAATCAATGTAAAAAGTATTAACGAGATCTTTTACATTTTTTTTTGTGTGTGTGTGTGTGTGCCATCTTTGGAATTTGTTGTGTATTTCATACTCACAACACATCTCTATTTGGACTAGCCACATTTTAAGGGCTCAGCGGGCGCCTGTGGGTCATGGCTATAGCCCTGCGAGCTTTCTGTGCCTGAGACAGTGAGGCACTTCCCTGGGTCTCTGAGGCCCTGCAGCACTGCCAGAACCCAGAGTCAGTAAGTTTTGAGAGTGGGCATCACTTCCAGGGGTGTCTGGTCCGGTCTGCATGTTTTAGGGATGAGGAGAGACTGTGTCGTCTGTAGATCACCTCCACTTCTGTTTTGCATTGGCAGGTGCCTCATCTCCAGACATGGAGCCCAGCTACGGGGGAGGTCTCTTTGACATGGTGAAAGGGGGTGCAGGGCGGCTCTTCAGTAACCTGAAGGACAACCTGAAAGATACCCTCAAAGACACATCTTCCAGGGTCATCCAGTCTGTTACGAGGTATGCTCATTCTTCCCAACTGAGTTAATGGACCTCCATGCCCCTCAAGGATCTGGTTACCTGCCAGCTGCTTTTCTGGCTCAAGGACTGACAATTGTGTGATATAATTGCCTGGAATCTGATCAACCAAGCAATGTCATTGAAGCCTTCAGAAGCGACAAGCACAGGCTCAGAGGCCTTATAGAGTGTTATGTTAAAATATAGTGGTTGCCGTCCCTGCCTTGTGAATCCAGCATCCTGGGTTCTCATGCCTTGTCTGCCCTTGTTAACCATGTGACCTAGGCAACTTAGCCTCTCTGAGCTTGATTTTTATACTCTGATAGGATTCACATCCCTGGTTGGTTTGAGAATTAAATGAGATAGTAATGCACATGCAAGCTGAAAAAGTGATACTCATGGATTATAATTGAAACAATTGTTTTTTGTATCTTAATAATCCTTCAGACCTTGTTTAGTGGAGGAAATTTTCTACCCTTCTAATATATGAAAATTCTTACAAGCAGGCCATGCGAATTCTATTTTTTATTTGTAGGTATTAGAAAATTCTAGGGTCACTTTAAAAGTAGTTAGAGTATACAGTTTTGAATCATAAATTCACATGTCAAATCCAAAATATTAATCAGCATTTTAATCTTTGTCCAAAGATTTATCCCTTAACCTGCAATCCCCAGCTAGGACCTGGCAGGCAGAGAAAGGATGTTCCTTATTTCTCCATCACTTCCTTCCTTACCCCCTAGCTGCTCACACTTACAGGAGATAATTCACACGTAGGCAAAGAGGCTGGAATAATCCATGTTAATGAATGAGCAGTGTTTCCTGTTCTGAGATTGATTCTGTTCATGAAGTGTCATCTACAAAAGGTATTGGGGTATATCAGAGTGGTAGATTCATGCTCCTGAGGGTGTGGGTTGCTTTTCTCAATGATTGTTCTTTGTTAGAGAGAAGGCCTTGAGGGAAGTTTAAATGTCTACTGGATGGAAGTGTCCAAGTCATAATGGGCAAGTGATTGAGAGAGGGGAATCCTGGCATATTTGGATCATTTTAATGAGCACCCTTTTCTGTCTTGCTTTTAGCTACACGAAGGGAGATTTAGACTTCACTTATGTTACCTCCAGAATTATTGGTAAGTTTCTCATATTTAATAGCTGCTCAATAGCTCAGCTTGCAGTGTCTGCCCATGGCAATAGCAAGCCTGTTTAACCTCTCTCTCTCTCTCTGTGATCCCTCCTAGTGATGTCCTTTCCTCTGGACAATGTTGACATAGGATTCAGGAATCAGGTTGATGACATCCGAAGCTTTTTGGATTCCAGACATCTTGACCACTACACGGTGTACAATCTGTCACCCAAGTCTTATCGAACTGCCAAGTTTCACAGCAGGGTAAGGAATTTTAACACTGGTATCACATGATTTGAAGACATAACAGGGTATTTTTCCCTTTAAGAGCTGTCCTCAAAGCCCTGGTCCTCAGACACACAAAGCTAATTAACTGTATACTCTGGATGCTTCTAGCCACAGAGTATTTATTAAGCTGTTATGAAAATATCTTGAAGATTTTCCTTGGGTGAGGACATTTGCAGGAAAGTTTATTTGTCAATGAGATACCATATAATTTGTGGTCTCAAATCACTATGGCTGGTTGCTCAGTTGTTGAGGCACGTTGCTTTGAGGCTCAGCTGGAGATTGAACTGCCATGTAGGGCGGTTGGTGACCCTTATCTGTAGCACTAATTATGCCTTTAACCCTTGCTTGTTGCTACTTGGGCATCATGATGAAACAGCGCCGCTAGACCAGTACAGACACCAGTGTTCTTGGAAATAGCTCTCTGACATTCAGTAAAGGTGCTTCTTTCATGGGTAGAGGACAGCACACAGACAGTCCATACTGTAGGTGTGGTAATACTGTTACTAATACTTGGAGCTTTTACACTGTCTTCTGAGGTAGCTGGAGACCTGGGACACAGAGAAGTAAGGTGACTTGCCCAAGACTGTACCACTAGTAGGTGGTCTCAGGCTTGTGTTCTTAACTATTACTCTGGGCTGACAATATTACTGGGAAAAGCTGGCTTATTCTCCTAAGGATCTTTTTGAACGAGACAGAGAAATATTCCTACTTTCTGGCTGGTGAAGCCACAAGTGATGGCTTAGGTTTGAATCTGATGTGGAGTTTGGTATTTTGGCCACAGAATTCTTGATTGACTCACTAAATGAAGCCTTTTTCTCTCTCAAGAACATCTTCAAATATTTTGATTTAGCCTTAGATATGATTGGTTTTGTAACTACATCTGAGTCTATTAATAAATAGAAAGGATTTTCTATACAATGGACACTTTATAAGTGAGAATTGATTTCAAATAAGCAAAATGATAGCTGGTTGTCCATGCTGTGTATCCAGGATCTCAGCTTTGATGCTGGTACACGTTTTGCTTCAAATTTCCATTGCCATTGATAATCTTTGGATTTTGGCTTCTGGATCTGTGAAAAATACAAAAAGTTTGGTTTCTGTGTTCTCTAAGACCTCTACCTGCCTTAATGTTCAATAAGATAAGGGAGAGTTTTGCTAAGGACTTTCTTTTCTCTGAGTGTTCCTGGAATAGGCTAGAGGAAACCCAGTGGTTCTCAAATTTCGTGAGCAACAAAACCACCTGGAGTGCTAGTCAAACACCCAGGCCCTGAATTTCTGATTGAGCAGGACAGGAGAGTGGGTGCTAACAGCTATCTGGATGCTATTCCTGCGGTTGCCCTGGGGACCACTCTTGAGAAGCATGATAAAACCATTCTGAAGCAGTGGGGTCTAAATTGCCATTCTGTAATGGAGATTTTAAATGCAGCTCTTTTAAATTCCCTATAATTAACTGCCTTTCCAACTCTTTTTCCATCTATTACCTAATTCAGAACAAGTGAATTAACATCAAACAAAAATGTGGGTAGATATTCTGTTTCTAACTTGGATGCCAGTCTTTTGATTTTTTTTCTTGTTTGGAGACTCAGCCATCATTTTCATACTAAAGGACTATGGAACATCCTCTACAGTATTTCATAGAAATTTTATTTGATCTTGAAATATCTCTAATAGTCTGGAAAAATTTCACTCTGAAAGTAAATAAAGATATATCATTATAGAAGTATTCATACAGATGAAGATGTCTCTTTGTGTAATATTTGTAAAAACAAAGATATTTAAAGAAAGGCACCTATTAGTATAACTACATGTTTTGTGACCAGTCTTAACAGTCTTACCACAAGACCAGGACTTACATACTGAACATCTGTCCTGGGCTGCTCTCGTTTGCCCTAGAAGAGCAGGAGGTATGTTTATTTTATTTGCCCCCTAGAACAGTGCCTGGCATGGCTAATACATGTTTCTCAGAAGAATGAATGTGCGAAGAATTGTTAAACACATAGATATAAAATAAATGTTTGGTTCTTTTTCTCAAGACACTTAAGCCTGCCTGGAAAGAGAAGCCAAAACATGCTAGAGACAAATGCAAATAATATTTACAATCCCTACTGAGGGAGTTTAGGGAAAGGAGACAGCAGTGAGAGCTGGACCTTGAAGCATGAGTAAATCTTGATTACTTATGAATGTAAGTGAAAGGAATGGGGTTATTCATCTCTGTGCAAATTGTAGAATGTATCTTACAGAACTCCTCATGATCTGGCCTCTTCCTGCCTCTCCAGCTTCATTTTTCACTGTTCTCCACTGCCTAAAAAACCCCATTCTCCAACCAGGAGAGACAGACACTGTCTCTTTGCATGAGCTGCTCCCTCTCCCTAAGAGTCCCTCATGCCACACCTCTGTAACCCTTCTAACAGCCTTAACTTTGCTAAAGGGGGGGATTTCAATATGCTACCCACAAGGCTTTTCCAGTTCTTTTCTCTAAAACACAGGCTTGCACTACATCTTCAGCCCCTCCCAGACAGTTCCAGAACGTGGCAGAATTCAGCTGGACCCTCTGACCTAACTAGCTGTCTGTCCTCGGTTGCATTTCAGGAAGACAGTCCCCAAACCTTAGTATTTTCATCTTAAGCTCTGTTTTGGATTTGGCTACATCTCTTGTCAAGCCTCCAGTCCTTTCTTTCCCCAGCACTAATGCTGCAAATTGATTTACATCTCATTGTTGCATTACTTAGGGAAGTTTTTTTGGTTCTCATCTTCCAGTGCACGAGGGCTAGAACTATTTCTTCCTCCTTCCAGGACCGTAGAGTGCTAGGTCTGCAATTAAATCTTATTTTAATAAATATAGATGGCATGGGGTGCCTGGCTGACTCAGTCGGTAGAGCATGTGACTCTTGATCTCAGGGTTTTAAGTTCAAGCCCCACATTGGGTGTAGAGATTACTTAAAAATAAAATCTTTTTAAAAACTTTTTAAAAATTAATGTAGATGGCAGAGTCTTCCATAAATTCCAGGATTGGAAAAGACCAAACATGAGACTGGTTTTATTTATAGACTCCCAGTCACTTTACATTTTTATTGTGTGTTGTGTTTGGGGATATGGGTGGTGGTGGCAGAGACAGGCTGTTTGCAGGAAGATTTCACTTTGCTGAGGGGAGTCCTTTTGTATCGTGAATAGCTTTTATGCTTAGAAGCCACATGGTTTGATAAGAATCATATGAAATCATCAACTAGCAGTTTTCTTAGTATTTGCACGTATAACAGAATGTTAGAATAGGACTTATATTTGGTCTCCATTTTAACAGAGGCCCCAACTCAAAACAATACTTGGCAGATTGCCCCGCTTTCAAGGTGAGGTGCTAGAATACCTACTCAGAACTGCCCAAGAGGTATTGAACAGCAGTTTTCTTACTCTTCGTAGCCAGTTTCCACCTTGAGGAAATAAAAATGACCAGTGTTGACAGTAAAGTCCTGGAGACCAATAAGATGCATTATCTAAACCAGGTGTTCCTAATCTGAGTTAAAGAAATGCAGGTCTACTGTGTATTTAGATCCATGGATGGACTTCAGAGAGTTTAACCGTCTCTTCCATTCCTTTCTCCCTTCCCTTCCCTCCCTCCCTCCTTCCCTTCTTTCCTTCCTTCCTTTCTTTTTTGGCAGTAAGCTATACATGATGTAAACATATAGCATTTCAACCACTGGTAAGAATACAGTTTGGTGACATTGAACACATTCACAGTGCTGTGTAACCATCACCACTGTCTATCCCATACCTTTTCTAGCATCTCCCAAATAAACACCGTACCCATCCACTCTGTGGGGGCGTGTACACTGGTTCACCTTCTGCACACATTTACAGCTCTCCTCAGAATATCAGGGACCACCGCTTTACACATTACTGTTGGCAAGAAATGGAAAACTGAATGAATGTCCCCTAAGTTGAGCCTGGCCCTAAAGTTCTTACATGCTGATAGCTCTCCACTGCCACTCTGAGTGTCTTTCTTCCCCTGTTCAGCCAGGAAGAAAAGTATGCTGAAGGAGCCCTGAGAGGAGCATAGATGATAATAATAATAATAATAATAATAATAATAATAATAAACAATCCAGGTTCCTTTAGAAACTTTCTTCATTTTGACTGTTTCTAAACTACACCATCTTGTAGGATTTTTTCCCTTTTGAGAACAAATTGATTTGAGGGAAATATTCTATCAACTTGAACTTCTTAAAGGTCGATCTTTTTTTTCCCTTTATTCATTTTCCTTTTCCTTCCAGAGCTCACCAAAGAGATCACCATAGCTCCCAGGTATTTTGGCTTTGGTTCATTGGTTGGTGAGGAGGATTGGCCTTAGAGGAGTGACTTTGAAGCTTCTACTTCATCTTTCCCTCTGCCACCAGGCTTCAGTATAAGGATAGGAAATAATGGGGTAGGAAAAAAAAAAAACAAACAACCCTGTCCTAGAAACCAGAGGGCCAGGGATCCCCACACTAGAGTTCTGTAGGCTTCAGTGAATTGAATATCTTCACCTTAGAAAATATAGCCATCACTTGAAGCCATAACCGCCCCACAAATGTAAGATGGAATTGCAGTTAATAATCAACCATCAGACAGTGTGATAGAATAGAAAGTACACAACTCTTATTATTATTACTTTTTATTATTTATTTATTTATTTTATTTATTTATTTATCTTAAAGATTTTATTTATTTAATTGACAGAGAGAGAGAGAGACAGAAAGAGAGGGAACACAAGCAGGGGGAGTGGGAGAGGGAGAAGCAGGCTTCCCGCCGAGCAGGGAGCCCGATGCGGGGCTCGATCCCAGGACCCTGGGATCATGACCTGAGCCGAAGGCAGTCACTTAACCAACTGAGCCACCCAGGCGCCCCTATTATTTTTTTATTGAGATGAAATTTATAGCATATACACAAATTTTAAACTTTAAAAATTACCCTAGGTTCACATCTTAGCTGTTCCTCTTCCTGGTTAAATCACCATTTTTTCCTATATAAATTAGAGATAACAATACCAATATCTACCTTGCAAATACTTAGAAACTTTTTCTGTAGGTTTGCTCTAAGGAATAAACTTGATAGCAGTATCTGCCCCATAGTAAGCATTTGGGAAGGGGTAGTTACGATTAATGTTAGTAATAATAAAATGCCACAAGAAATGATTGACTGAAATTCCCGTTTTCCAAAAATGGTGTAGTAGATTCTTAAAACACTGGATATGGCTCTTGAGTCTGACTCTCTGTAGTACCTTTTGCTCTTATGCTTAGCAGGTGGGAGGCTTCAGCCATCTTATCTCATGCTTGGGGCGATGGAGAGATGAAAATGGAGTGGCATCCAGCCCTGGTGCTGTTTTGGCTTCTGTCCCCACTGGGTGGTATCATGGCAGCCTGTAATCCATATGGCGTTTTCTGATGCTTATGGCTCTGGGAGGTGTTTAGAGAGACTGGAGATCGCATCGCAAAGTGTCACATGCCCAAGGATTGTGCTTATTGTATGAACCTATGAACTCCAGGGAGCTACAAAAATAGCTTTCAGTAATTGAATTCCTTAAAACATTTTTGTTTTGTTTTGTTTATGCCTTAATGTTTTTTTTCCCTTTTAGACAGAGTACAGGCTTTAAAAAAATTCTAATTGTATGTTTGCTTAATGGTGTATAATTATATATCAAGTAAATATATAATTATGGAGTACTTTAAATTAATATTATTTACTTGATTGATTTAATGATTCTGGAGCTTGTAGCCTATTGTGCTAGGAACAATTTAGCCAACTTTTAGCTGAGACTCATTACAGATATTGACATTTAAAGTGTTTGTATGGTTGACAGCTTCTAAGAGGTTTAAAAATACTGCCTGGAAAATCAGGTTTTTTTTCATAATTTTACATGATTGCAACCTAAAACAACAACAAAATTGATTCACCTGTTCCCTCCTTGCGAGATCATACATGTAGACAAATCTTAGTACAAGAAGTGATTGCCAAATGGGGTTCACTCCTTTGATCTTCCACTCATTCATTCACTCAGCAAATACCTACAGAGCACCTGCCATTCAACTAACACAGGGACACGACTCTGGGGTTACCAAATGAATAAATTATGGTGTCCCTTCTCATGGGGCTTAGTGTCTAGAGGGGGAGACAGATGTAAACAGTTAATTTGAGTACAATTGGACAATAAGCTGGCACTCACTGTGCTTATGCTGTGCTACTTAATTCTCCTCACAGTCTTGTAATGTCCATTTTCACTTTACACACGAGAGATTCTAGGGTCTGAGAGATCGGTAACTTGATAAATGTCCATCAGGTCGTAAGTGTAAAGCAAAGGTGAAAACCCAGCCCATGGGTTCAACCATGTTGCTCTACTGATAAAAGCTTTCATAGATGAAAATGGACAAGGGCATGGGTACGAAGACCTAAGTTAGCTAAGATTTCTGCCTGTGGGTGTTCGACAAACTGTCAGAGACAAAAGAGCACTTGAACTTGGGTTTTAAAGGATGAATACAGATTTGCCAAGGGAAGAAAAACATTGCAGACAAGAACCGGCTTGTATAGATGTACACTTTGCAATTTCTCTGATGGCAAAATTTATCTTCCCAACTATTCTTTTTTTTTTTTAATCAATATATCATTTCCATTCCTTGAGAACACATCAGTGGGGAATCCATTTGAGTGTAAAGAATGGGCCAGAAACAGCCCTGATTTATGTTGGGTAGGAAGGGGCAAGTTGATATGGATCTGACAGAAGCCCAGTAGTGGGTCGCCCTGGATTGTTTGGTAGCTCTGTCAAGCATTTCAGCTACCTTGTTTAATAAACCACACCTGTCATTGCCAAAAGGTATAGGGAAGTGAGTACCTGAAAGGTCCCCTGCCATTACCCTATAATCATCTTACAGAAAAATGTTACAAATTAAGCTAAAAGAATAGGCTTTCTTGGCAACCCCAGAATGAGAAACTCCAGGTGTTTGCTTTTGGATGTCACCTCTAAAGAGACCACACATCACTTCCCATTTATATTTTGACAGTGATTATCTGATTACCAGAAAAGGGCAACCAAATAGATTGTTCCTGCCTCCCTCTCCCCACTGTTAAATATTAGGAATTTGAGACATTTGGGTTTTCTTAGGCCAGTGGTGGTAGTGTTTCTGAGTATTTTCTGGTGACACCGTCCATATAAAACCTAGTTTTTCTCCAGAATTCCCTACCTCAGCCAATGGCACCTGTCATCCTTTTATCTAGCCATTCAGACTGGAAATCTGGGAGTCATCCTTGACTCTTTCTCCCTCATGGCTTGAGTATACCCCTTCACACTCGTTCACTGCCCCCATATGATCAATCTCCAAGTCGTATATGCACAGGTGTTCTACTTCATCTCTAATTCTTGAATCCCTCGAGTCTTTTTGTACTCCACTGCCACTCACCTGGCCTAAGCCACCATCATCCCTGACTTTGATTCCTCAGCGGCCTCCTGACTGCTCTCCCTAGCTACTCACATGGCATCCACATCCATTCTCCACACTGGATCTTAAGAGATCTTTGGAAAATGCAGATGAGAGTCATTCTCCTTCTTAAATATTCTCTCAGCTCCTAACAAGGCCTTGTATGATCTGGTGGCCCTTCAGTCTACCTTCTTGCCAAACAGGGTTTCATTCATTTTATTCAAACATAGCTGGCTTTATCTGAACTCAGGGCTTTGCATTGGCAGTTATCTGATACAATAATGATCACAATAGCTAACATTTCTTAATCACTTTGTGTGTGTCAGATACTGAGCTGAGCCCTTAAAATACATCCTCATGTAGTAACCACACCCTGTGAGGTAGGTAGGTAGGTACCACTCACCACATTTTACGAAGGAAGAAAGGCTAAAAGAGGTCACAAAGTTTGCCCAAGTCTAAAATTCTTCTTATTTTGATTACCTAAATCAGTAAGTATCTAATCAATTGGGGTTCATGCCTAATATTTTGAGCAAATGATAATCTCTACCAGTATACTATTGTTGCCCAGTGACTTATATTCAGAAGACCTGGGTTGTACTGCTGGTACTGACCGGCAGTATTACTTTATTTATTTTTATTTATTTATTTATTTATTTATTTATTTTTCAGATTTTATTTATTTATTTGACAGAGAAACACAGTGAGAGAGGGAACACAAGCAGAGGAAGTGGGAGAGGGAGAAGCAGGCTTCCCACTGAGCAGGGAGCCCGATGTGGGGGCTTGATCCCAGGACCCTGGGATCATGACCTGAGCCGAAGGCAGACGCTTAACAACTGAGCCACCCAGGTGCCCCTGGCAGTATGACTTTAGACAAGGCAACCTCTGTGAGTCAGTTTTCTCATCTGTAGAATGGGGATCACATTAATACCTGACTTGTATGATTGTGGTACAGCTCAGAGTCAGATAGAATTCCAGGAACATAGTCAATGCTCTGTAATGGGTTAGATGAACACGTGTGTTAGATGAATGAAAATATCAAGGATTGCCCTCATGGAGTTGTGAGTTCTCTCATTAAGACAGAAAGAAATAAGAGCTCTGAACCAAGGGTACCTTTGACTCACTCTGCAGCTCTTTTCATGTTCTCATGAGAACTGGGGTAAAATTAGGGATAATGCAGAATTTATAAGGTAATACTATAATTAAGTATCTAATAGGCAGGTCAAAACATTTTATACTTAGTAGAAATTAAATGCAACCTCACAGAATAAAAAAATCCAAATATATAGTTTAAATGGTCTATTTTATTTTTTTAGAGAGAGATTGTGCATGCATGTGCATGTACACATGGGGGTAAGAGAGTGGGGTGGGGGAGAGGGCAGAGGGAGAGGGAAAGAGAGACTCTCAAGCAGACTCCATGCTGAGCGCAGAGCCCAGTGCAGGGCTTGATCTCATGACCCTGAGATCATGACCTGAGCTGAGATCAAGAATTGGTCGCTTGACTGACTGAGCCACCCAGGTACCCCTAAATGGTCCATTTTTATTTAAAACGTACTTCAAAATGTGTGTTTTGATACCTTTACTGGAATGGAATTTTTTTAATTAAGAAATTGTTATATTAAACAACTCTTCTGTGTTTGGACCCTGTTCCCATCTCTTCCTGTCTATATTAAAAGAGAATGTGGTATCATATTCCAGAAGTTGTTTGGTGTGATAGCTCCTTATGGAGAGGGGTCGCTTGGGGAATTCATTTCCTTCATGCTCTGTTCCCTTAGGTCTCAGAGTGCAGTTGGCCCATCAGGCAGGCCCCCAGTCTGCACAACCTTTTTGCTGTGTGTCGGAATATGTATAATTGGCTACTACAGAATCCCAAAAACGTCTGTGTTGTCCACTGCTTGGTGAGTAACCTTTATTGTTGTTGTTGCTGTCATTTGTGGTAGGTGGGTTTGGTTTGGCCAAATACACCTGGCTCTATACAGACTGGTGGACAGGTAACATTTAAACAGATTAAGCATTTATTGAATCCCTACTTAGGAACTAGTTAATGTGAGGGATATAAAAACGAGGGAGGAATTTATTATTCTTGCCTTAAAGCTTGAGTACTCTTGAGAGAGGCAGATACATACACATAACACAGGACCTCTAGAATGTGCTGAGTATTATAAAAGAGGTAGAAACAAGGACTGTGGGTATGTAGGCAAAAATACCATTGATTTCTGTGTGAATAAAGTTGATAAACACATTGGAATACTTATCATTTCTTTTTGTGCTTGAATAAAAATGAAATAAGAAGACCCCTCTGCCCTTGTAAGTATAGATTGATTATATGTGACAGCAATTCCTTTGGGACTGATGACTCTTTTGATCCCTGACTCCTTAGAGTCCCTTTCCCCAGCTCTTCTCTGGTGGTTTCTTACCTATCATTTAAAACTCAGCTCTGGCAAAATCTTTCTGACTCGTGAGTATTTTCACAGTATGGACATTCCCATTGTATATCTAAATGTCCTCTGTGGCATCCTCATAATCTGGTGACCTGCCTGTTTTCCTACTAGACTGTAAGCATGTTGCAGGCAAGAACTGTGTCTTCTTTACCTTTGTACCCAGGTATGAAGGTTTGGAATCAGTGATTGCATACATGAACAAATGGACACACAAGTGGAATCTGAGCATAAATCTATACATAGCTTATTCCAAAAGCAGTATTTACCTAATCTGTCAACTCTACCTCTGGCCTGCAATCAAGAGACCTCAACTACTAGTTCTGATCCTACAAGTCCAAAGTTACTTTGAAGATTAGATTATTTTTCAGTAAATATATGCAAATCAAATTTATGTTGCTTGGTTTTTTAGGTTAGAAGAGAGTTAATTTTGCCCTAAGAATAAGTCTTTCTTGCTGCTTTGTGATTTGAAGAGCTGGGACAGAGTTTGGTTTTCAGGCGCACAGTTTTGAACTGAAAATCATTCTGTTAAGAGGAATTCTCCCGGCGCCTGGCTGGCTCAGTTGGTTAATCGACTGCCTTCGGCTCAGGTCATGATCCTGGAGTCCCGGGATCGAGTCCCACATCGGGCTTCCTGCTTAGCAGGGAGTCTGCTTCTCCCTCTGACCCTCTTCCCTCTCGTGCTTTCTATCTCTCATTCCCTCTCTCTCTAAAACAAATAAATAAAAAAAATCTTTAAAAAAAAAAAAAGAGGAATTCTCCCTCTGTCTCCCCTCTTTTAACTGCAAGTATAGCCATTCTCGGTGGTGAGTGGCTGATTGGACCGTGTTTGTGACAGGTTTATGTATCTTCCTTGGCAGGATGGACGGGCAGCGTCGTCAATTCTGGTTGGTGCTATGTTCATTTTCTGTAATCTCTACTCCACTCCTGGCCCGGCCGTGCGATTGTTATACGCAAAGCGACCCGGAATCGGACTGTCACCATCCCACAGGAGGTAAAGTAAGCTAGATGCAAGGTAGGCCCAGATGTTTTTAAAAAAAGGAAAACCCTTTCTAGGTAATTGACTTATTATATTCCCATTAGTCACAGTTTCTTCTTTTCTCTTATTTAAATTGCCTCTCCTTTTTTGATAAACCCTAAAATTTTTCTAGAGCCAGCCTTTAGCTGATAAATTGAATCTGATAGATCAAATAGGAATAGATGTGCAAATATCGAGCTAGTATAAGGTTCCCATAAGCTTTTTCACTTAATAAATACCCTTTTATCAGTTCTTTCGGGGAAATATAGTAATGTCACTAGATGAAAGCTTTCCTAAATGGCAACTTCCTTTTTTGGTAGTTAATGTTTAAGAAATTATCACATTAAATGGTTATTATAAATTAGTTATTTACAAGAACAGACTTCATAGCAAAGATTGATTGCTTCTTTCTTCTGGTGTGCTAGACACCGACAGAATGTCAATCTTCTGTTTCAGATACCTGGGCTATATGTGTGACCTCCTAGCAGACAAACCCTACCGCCCTCACTTCAAGCCTCTCACCATTAAGTCCATCACTGTCAGTCCAGTTCCTTTTTTTAACAAACAGAGAAATGGATGTCGTCCTTACTGTGATGTATTGATTGGAGAAACCAAAATATATACAACCTGTGCAGATTTTGAACGAATGAAGTAAGTTATGATGCTTTTCTTTTTTTTGATACTTTTCTTTTTTTTTAAGATTTTATTTATTTGAGAGAGAGAGAGCACACAAGAGAGCGAGTACAAGTGGGGCGGGGAAGGGTAGAGGGAGAAGGAGAAGCAGGCTCCCCGCTGAGCAGGGAGCCTGATGTGGGACTCAATCCCAGGACCCTGAGATCGTGACCTGAGCCAAAGACAGACTCTTAACCGACTGAGCCACCCAGGCACCCCAGTCATGATACTTTTTTTCACTTCTTCTTGTGAATTGCTCAATTCTTATATAAGCTGGATCATATTCTTCCTGTGAGGACTGCATTATTGTGACATGACTGATACTAAAAAACAAAGTTATATGTAGGTTAGAAAAGCACAAGTAAGTCAAGAGATGCTATAACTCCTTCTCAAATGGAGACACAAGTAAGGGACTAACGTGAGCTATAATGAGGGTTAAGACAGTGATGGGGACTGAGGACCTGCACATTTAAGAAAGAAATGACCTTGATGAGATTTGGTGAGGATGAGGGAAGAATCAGGGATGAACGAAGTTTCTGGATGAGCAATGAGGTAGATGGTGATGTGATTAAAGAAGTTATAGAATCCACAATAAAGAGCAGGTGCCAGTGGGAGGTGTTAGGAAGTGTGGAGAGCAGGGAGTGGATGGTAACATAAAATGAAGTTAGTTTGGGACACCTGGGCGGCTCAGTCTGTTAAGCACCTGCATTTGGCTCAGGTCATGATCTCAGGGTCCAGGAGTCGAGTCCCACATCGGGCTCCTTGCTCAGCAGGAGCTCCTTGCTCAGCCTGGCGCTCCCCCTTGCTCATGCGCTCACTCTCTCTCTCTCACTCTCTCTCGCTCTGACAAATAAATAAAATCTTTAAAAAAAGATGAAGTTAATTTGGAATAGGTTGAATTTGGGGATTGGTATCCAAGACCCTCATAGAGCATGGCATTATGATCTTGGTTGGATATTTTTGTTCCCTCTGTCCCTGCTTTAACTATTCATTTAAAGTTAGGAAATGACAAATACATCAGAGCTAGGTGTACTTGAGGTTTATGAGATCTGCAAAGTAGGGATGGGCAGTCAATTTATCTGGAAGTCCAGATGGGATGGAGGGAGAGAGAGGGCCTAGCATCAGACCAACAGCATCCCATGGTAGAACCAGTTTGCATCCACAGCTGTGCTCCTGACTCTGCTCAAGGTAGGAAATGGTTCTTGGGTCTAGGCTTGGGCAACAGGTCCCTTGGCCAGAGCCACAGAGGACTCTACCTTTGTGATTATACAAGATTGGACTCTTGCAGTGTATATTTTTGTTTCTGTTTAAAGAGAATACCGGGTCCAAGATGGAAAAATCTTCATTCCCTTGAGCATCACTGTACAAGGAGATGTGGTTGTTTCCATGTATCATTTGAGGTCAACCATTGGGAGCCGGCTACAGGCTAAGGTATGATTTCATGAAGAATCATGGCATAAACTCTTCTGAGCTTTTACTAGGAGTATTTTATTGTATCTTATTCTTTAAAGTAAGCTCTATGCCCATTGTGGAGCTTGAATTCATGACTCTGTGCTCTGCCGACTGAGCCAGCCAGGCATCCCTTAATATAAGGAGTTTTTGGAGTCTTTTCTCTGCATCACTTTGGGTTTGAATGGCTTGTAGTTTTAGAATTAGAAAGAGCCTTTAAAGATTACTTATACCGATTTCCCTATTTTATAGGGAATGAGACTCAGAAAGGTGGTGATTTGCCCCATCCTTGGCGTGATGCCTTTGCCAGAAGCTGACAGCCCTAGAGCTTCTAGCAAACCTTGCTCTTTAGAAGCTTGTGCCCTTTTTTATAGTGTCCCATTTGAATCAATGTGAGAGGAGATATTTCTATGAAGGGTGTGGGATTAAGTAATTATATTTTTTCAATTTTTTATTACCATGAAATTCACATATTAACATAAAATTCACTCTTTTAATGTGTACAGTACAATTATGTTTAGTATTTTCAAAAGGTTATGCAGCACCACTATATAATTCCAGAACATCTTTGTCATGCCCAGAAGAAACCCTATACTTGTTAGCGGCCACTGCCCATTCCCCTTTTCCATCTCCTGGGCAACCACTAATCTACTTTCTGTTTCTATAGACTTGCCTATTTGGGACATTTCATATAAACGGAATCATACAATATGTGGTCCTTTGAGACTGGCTTCTTTCACTTAGCGTGTTTCTGAAATTCACCCATGTTGTATCATGTATCAGTACTTCATTCCTTTGTATGACCAAATAATATTCCATTGTGGCTCTATCACTTTTCATTAATCTCTTCATCAGTTGATGGACATTTGGGTCTTGCCTCTTCTTGGATATTATGAATAATGTAATAAGTACTTGTATTTTAATTCATCAAATATTTGCTAAGTGCATACTCTGTGCCAGTCATCACCTTAGGGGTTTAGGACAGACAAGAATAAGACTGTGTCCCTGCCCTTCAGGAGCTTAGCCTAGCAGGAGAAAGTCACCACATATCTGAATATCCACTATCACAGTAGAGGTGGGATGGGATGCCATAATGGGAGTGGTTTGTTTTAGCCAGTGGTGGCTACAGAAAGGCTACAGAGAGGATATGACCTTGTAAGGTGGCCCTTGAAGGACGAGTTCCTCAGGTTGGAGCACGGGCATTCTGGGTAGAAGGAATGGAAAGAGCCAAGGTATGGTAGTGTGCAAGAACGTGAGATATTAGTGGAGGAAGAAATGGTTTGTCCAAGCAGAGTTCATGGGGGAAGAGAGGCTGGAAATAACACCGGGCCATTACCAAACGGCAAGGTCACTTAGTATTCATAGTAAACAAAGGCTCAGATGTTGAAACAGTTGAAGGTGTATGGCTCCCCAAAATATAATCTTTTGATCCGATTCCCTCTTCATGGGTTGATTGTAATGTGCTTCTCTCCTATATTTTTAGGTGACCAACACCCAGATATTCCAGCTTCAGTTTCATACTGGATTCATACCACTGGAAACCACAGTTTTAAAGTTCACCAAGTGAGTACTGCTTGCCGAACACCCCTTTCAATACAAGCAGCTGTGAAATGCTGGAAGCCAAGTGCCCAAAGCTCATTTGCTCCGTGCGGCAGCGTCCCCTGGAATCCTGCGCTACAGGACTGTTAGGGTGTAGCTTAGCAACACAGAGAGCCCGGTTGCCTTTTACAACTTGCAATTGGGTATAATTTGTCTTGAACACAATAGGATCAAAGACTTCAAACAGAAAGGTCTAAAATTCCCTGTGAGGGAACAAGACTGAACAAAGTGGAAACAAAGTATCAATACTGTGACCCTTTGCATCTGTGTATCCCTTCGTGTTTTTCAACCAGGAACGCAGTTTAATCTGTGGTAAGATATGAGGGATGACCCTTCAGACAGGATGCCAGGCCATAGCCCTGAAGAAGGGTACCCCTCTGTACGAACCTTAGTTGCTTTAATATGGTGTGGTCTTGGGAACTCAGAAGGGTGGCTGAAGCCAGGGGGATAGGGTCAGGGTAGGGGTGGACGTTCAAGAGCTCAGGGTGGCGGCTGGGGGCTGTTTCATTATGTTAACAACAGATTTGGCCTGACCCAGGCATACTGGCTGGATCTATCAGCCGTCCTTCTAGAATGCTTTCACAAGTGGTAGTATCCAAATTCTTTGAGTAGCCATTATTCTCCTCTTTCCTCTAGATGAGGAAAACAGGCTCAGAACAGTAAAGTAACTTAACTGGTTAGTGACTGCTTTTTCTCGAGGAATGAGTCTCAGGGTTAATCTGAGTCAACCTACAATGGTTTCTGTGCTGAACATCATTCTGATCCCATTGTTTTTCACCGATCTTCTTCTTTTAAATTCCTATGTAGACCTGAGTTGGATGCATGTGATGTACCAGAAAAATATCCTCAGCTATTTCAGGTGACTCTGGATGTAGAACTACAGCCCCACGACAAAGTGATAGACTTAACCCCACCATGGGAACATTACTGCACAAAAGATGTCAATCCTAGCATCCTCTTCTCGTCTCACCAGGAGCATCAGGATACTCTGGTCTTAGGAGGTATGAGTCCCCTGGTGGTTTTGTTTTCAGGGCAAAGCCTCTGTGTTATGTATCACTTTGACTTCTTTACTGTGTTTCACTGATGTTGCATGGCCTTCTGTCTTGCAGGACAGGCTCCAATAGACATCCCTCCAGACAACCCCAGGCATTTTGGGCAAGGTGGCTTCTTTTCCTCTCTCTGTTGGCAAGGTACTTCCAGGCATTTCTCTGAGTTACGTGGTTAGATACTTAAGTTACATGGTTCTTCTGTAAACATGGTTTGTCCTCGAAGCAGCCTCAAAGACAGCAACACTTGAAGTCATCCTTGTTCCTCCTTATTTCACACCCTCCCTGCTCATTCCTTTTTTCAAATCAGGCGATTTGAAATTACTTCCCTACTTTCAACTCCATGGGTAGGTACTCTTAGACTGATGTAGAAAACCATTTTCAGCCGGATTCTACCTTTTCTCTCTATGCTGTGTTTTGGATCACATCTTTTCTGGATTTACAAATAAGCGTGATATTTTCTAGGATTTCCCTTTATGCTGCTGACACACGAATGCCCTCGAGTACATGTTCTGAAAATATAAAGTCTGGCATTTCCCCCAGAGGGCTCTCACCACCAACAGGGTGGATCTAAGCTTCCTCCGGTGCAGAAAAGGCACACGCTTCACCCATATGTCTCTGCTACGTGCTTTTAACAGCCATGGCAGAAATTGGGCTCAGTCACAGTATCCTTTTCTGCCAAACCTGGAGATGTTTTTAGAATCTTTCCAACATAACACTTCAGACCGCTGCCATTGGTAGACTGGCATTGGCATTCTGTCCATACACATTTGCCTCCTTGCTGTAGCGTTTGCTGAGGTTAACTGCAAGATTCAATGCAGAATTGAATCGCAAGAACTTTCTCTAAGAAAGGGGTAGGAAAATAGCTTTGGAAATGCTCTGGATAAAATTCTCTTGATTGACCTTTCTTCACTAAGTGAACATAAGATGGTATTCCCATTGCCTATGGAGTTTTCCATGTTTGGTGACAAAAAAAGCTCACAGAATTCCTTTGAATTAAAAGCCTTACTTTCAGAATTTCCTACTGAGAAGTGGAACCAATAACATTAAAAAAAATTGGAAAAGCCCAGCGAAATCTAGCAGCAGGTAGACTTCCCAGTTCCCACAGTAACAAGTCCCCTACCATCTTACCTTCCTCACATAAGGGCTTTTAATGAAACTTCACTTTTCCTTCTCCATTGACATTATAGTAAGTAATTTAGAAATCATTCCTGTTAGGGTCTGAAATAGGTTTTAGCACAAATGCACATTTCTTATCTGAACCTCACAGAACCAGAAGCATTTAGGAATTGCAAAAGTTTTTGACTTTCAGAAAGGTGATATGGTACATAAATTGTATATTACTTAGCATCCCCAATGGCATCTCAGACAACTTGTAATGGAACATATTCATGTTTCTGCATTGAAACATAAAAAGAATCACACTGGGTGAGATAAATGAAGATTATAAATACTTTCATGTCAGTTCTGGTCAGATTTTTCCACCAGCTGAATTTGTTCCAAACTTAGGGAAACATTTCCCATTTCGTAGTTTTTTGCATTTCAGAATTGGGGATTAGGGATGTCAATCTGTACTTGATTTGGAATGTGGGTCTAGCTGACATTAAATAACGAAGTTTCCTTGGAGGATCTGTCTCAAGGAGGGCCTGGAAAGTCACTCATCAGCCTCTCCATCCCTTCTCCAGAACGGGCCTCTTCCTTGCTGCCCATCTGATGCTGAAAGGGTCTAAGGACCATCCTGAGTGGAGCCTCTCCGTCCATTCACTTGTTAGGTGTGTGTGGCTTGCTTCCACTCCAGACTGTGGGAGGAAGGACTTGCTTTTGGCCGCAGGCCTGGAAAAGAAAAGACAGTGAGAGGAATCAGCAAAGGATTAGGAAATAACAGGTTTTTTTCCCAAAGCACCTAGCAATAGCACCTGGAAGATAATAATCATAATCATACTCGTAAACACTTAAGTACTACATAATATTGGTCTGAACACTTTCTCTCTGTCATCTTATGTAATCCTTACAGTAGCCAGCAGAGTTAGGTACTCTTTGTTACCCCCATTTTGCTGAGGAGGAAACCAAGGCACAGAGGAGAAGTAAAGTAACTTTCTCAATGTCACAGAACCAGTAAGTAGTCGAGGTGGGATTCAGACCCAGCCTGTCTGGTTCCAAAGTTTCTGCTCGTCCCCATTATGCTATCCTGCCTCTCAGATGCTCAACAAAGGGTGATTGAATGATTTGAGAAATACATCAGGTTTTCCATCGGTAAGGGTCTGAAAGCATTGTTTGCTCAGGGCTGCTCCTTTCTCTTTCTGGAGTAATGGACTGACTTCACTCACAAAAATCAGTAATGCTGTGGCCAGTAACTAACTAATTATGGGCACCTCTGCCTTCCTTAGATCAGAAATCAGAAAAATCATTCTGTGAGGAGGACCATGCTGCCCTAGTGAATCCAGAAAGTGAGCAGTCGGATGATGAACTTCTGACCCTTTCCAGTCCACACGGCAACGTGAGTGGTGACAAACATCATGGAGCTAAAAAGCCCAGCAAAAAGCAGCAGGGGTCCGCTGCTCCTCCACCCCCCGAGGATGTGGACCTTCTGGGCCTAGAAGGGTCTGCAGTGAGTAAGAACTTCTCTCCGCCAGTGGCACCTCCCACCAATTCTGAACTACTGAGTGACCTGTTTGGGGGTGGAGGTGCAGCTGGGCCTGCCCAGCCTGGCCAGTCAGGGGTAGAAGACATGTTTCATCCAAGTGGACCTGCGTCCGCCCAGTCGACACCACGCCGATCTGCCACCTCCACGTCTGCGTCTCCAACCCTAAGAGTGGGAGAAGGTAATGTTTTCCATGTTGCACTGTACTCAGTTTTGAATTGTAACCTTGGGGCCAAGCAGGCAAAATTGAGCTTTCCTTGTAAGCAGACTTTTCTGGTCTCCCTGAAAGGCTCTCAGAGGTCTCTATCTTCTGTTAAATGGAGAACACAAGAGGAAATGGAAATGTTGTCCATTTTGGTAGGACAGTGTAAGAGTGAATGCTTGAGCTCTTCATCCTTTCTTTGTTTTTGTGTTGTTGTTGTTTTTTTTTTTTTTCCCAAAGCTTCAGTCCCGGAGCTGCTTTAGTGACTTTTCCTTGGAGATGTAGACTGATGAATTATTACTAATAATAACAGCTAATAATCTTGGGGTACTCACTCTTTGCCTAACATGAAATTTCACACTAAACATGGATTCAATTATTATAAAAACCTGGTAATTAGGTGCTATTATTGTCCCTATTTTTAGAGTTAAGGAAATGGAGGCTTAGGGTCAAATTAGTAGTGTACATTTATACAGCTTGTTATTGGCGGGGCCAGGGTCCAAAACTGAGCCAGTGGACTTGAGAGCTCTCTCTTAGTTTTCCTGTAATGTCTTCCTGGAATTGTGATTTTCTGAATGCACTTTGGTTATGCAGAGAAGTACTTCATTGGCTCAGGATGCATTTAAGGGACTTAGGCCAGCACCACCACGGACTGTAACTGAGCAGTTGTTGCCCATGTGGTCCGGCTTCCCTTTGCTCACTGCTATAGACCCGACCTATGACCGGTCATCCACAATGCTTTGAAATTTGCAAGATGCTGTAGCTGGGTCAGCGTTTTAGCTGCCCCTTCTTACCCTCACCATCAACCAAGATGACATCACGTTAGGAAGAGTAAAGAGAAATGTTTCAACTCTCCACTCCCATGGTAACCTATGGAAACTTGCTTTCCCAAGCTAATCCTTCAGTTCTCAGAGGGCTCTGGGGGTGGTCTTGATTTAGAGTTGTTCAACTGGAGGCGTTTGGTGTAAGAGTGAGTCTTAAAATCATGGAATGGGGGTGTTGGGCTTAAGCTCCTACATTAGTTATTGATGGAGCCATGGTGGTACCCAGGTGCCCTGAGTCCCAGGCTGTTTCCTATCTATTTGACTTCCTCTTTTCTAGTTCTTACTCACCAAAGTGAATAAAAGATCTGTCAGGAAAAAAAATCTGCAGGGTCTAAAATACCATAGTACTCAGTCAGGTTTCAAGGCCACACACCTTGCGTGACTTTCAGTGATTTAATTCATCACAGTCTAATGCAGATAGTTACGTTCTAGGGTCAGAGCTACAAGGGATCTTTGAGACATGAGTTAAATCTGTGCCCCAGGTTATAGATAATGAAATTGAGCCTAAATATATTGATTGACTTGGCTCTCTGAAACCTCCATTTCGTTGTCTGTGGAGTGAAGGTAATACTACTATCTGGCAGGGAGAGACTGAGAAGCAGCTGACATACTTTTTATGAAAGGCAATGTAAGCCCTGAGAAACGATACAATATTGGTTTTACTGTATTGTTGCTGGAGGCCTCAGCTGCTTGCTTTGTTCTAGTCTTTTTAGTACATTCACAAACTTTTCCTCACTTATCTGCATCCGGTTTCTAGCAAGTTATTTGAGAAAGCATTTGAGTGACATAGCAACACTCATTTTCTCCTCTTTCTAACTTTCAAGTGAGCCAGAGACCATGAAAAACACGAAACAAAATTAAATAAAACCTGATCAGTGGGGTTTTCTACTGCTTACCTTGATAGCAGAGCTCCCCTACCTGGTATTTGTCCACTAGTATATTCAGTATGAGCCCAGGTTGTTCATGGAGCATTTTCTTTGGTCCCAGCATGGTTTTGCGGGTCATTTCTAGAGGGCCCATGAGGCCCTCATTGATGGTGTTTATGTATCATCCAGCAGATAAATCTACAGTCCTCCTTTGTCCATAAAGATGGGATTGTTCCTGTGCAGTCAGGAATCCTCAGGTTCCATTGTTGGCCCTGGGGGAAGTTTTAAGGATAGGATGGGCGTGTGGAGCAGCCCGGGAGGCAGGCTTCATCCCAGTGTTTCAAATATTTGGCCTAAGACCTGGCCATAGTGACAACTCTTCAATATTAATTTAATGAATGAACTCACAGGACAAAGAAACACATTTTTCCTTCTGTTGTCTAGGTGCCGCCTTTGACCCGTTTGGAGCACCTTCTAAACCATCAGGTCAGGATTTGCTGGGTTCTTTTCTGACCACGTCCAGTGCTTCCAGTGACCCCTTTCTTCAGCCTACAAGAAGTCCTTCACCTACAGTGCATGGTAAGAACGTATTTTAATTAATTAATTTATTTATAAAAGATTTTATGTATGTATGTATGTATGTATGTATGTATGTATTTTAGAGAGGGAGTGTGTGTGTGTGAGCGGGGATTGGGGCAGGGAAGAGGGAGAGGGAGAGAGTCATCGAAATGGCCTACATGGCCCTATGTGCTCTCGCCCCCCAGTGCTGTGACCTCATGTCCTCCCCCTCCTGCTCTCTCCGTTCTAGCCATACTGACCTCTTACTGTTGTGCTGGCTGTCCCCTCTTCCCAAGGCATTGGCTTGACTAACTCCTTCAGCTCCTTTGATCTCTGCTCAACTGGTACCTTCTCAGTGGGGTCTACTCCAACTGCTCCATTTCATATCACAACTCATCTCCGTGCCCCTACTGTAGATTTTTGTTTCATCGTATTTATCAACTTCCAATATACTCAATAATTTATTCATGTGTTATGTTTCTTTTTCTTTGTCCATCTCTCCCCACAAGAATATGAGCTCACAAAAGCAGGGAGTTTTGTTTGTTTTGTTCATTAATGCTTCCCTAGTGTCTAGAAGAATTATGGGCACATAGTAGGTATTATCCATCTGTCTTCCCATACAGTATGTAAATATAAAATGAATTAAATCATTTTTTCCTAAGTCTCTTTGGTGAATAGTGATAGTGTTAATAAGGTTATATATTTTCCCCAACTTTAATACTTTGAACTTATAGTTTTCATAAGAGTACTATCTTTTGTGTCCCATGGGTATGTATGTTAATAGTTCAGCATGGCAATTCTGGACTCAGTTCTCTGGTGCTTGTGAATTAGTTAGAAGATGCTTATCACCCACTCTCAGCCAGTTAGCACCCCTTTGTTTTGTCGCTATTTTGACCTCTGTCATGCCAGTGACTGAAAAGAATTTTCCACTATCCTTGCTGGAAAAACAATAATTCCACTGTTAGTGGGTCAGTTACATCATCTTCATACAGGATAATATATAGGTCAGACTGACATGTCAGATTGGGAGCTCAGATTGCCCATCTCTGACTTCTACAAGGCATCACCAATCTCTTCTGGAAATCAAGAAATAGTGCCTTTGAGTTCTACAGATATTTATTGAACATCTACTCTGAAGACAACAATCACTTGGGGCATAGTGTTGGAAGAAAAACTAAATAACCATAATAAAAGGCAAAATAGAGATTGAAAATACTAGATGATTACCTTTTCATCTGTATATTCCTATATCTTCAACAGATTTTACCTTTCTTGAGGCTAGACAATGTCTTTTAGTTCTCTGTTCCGTAGTACGGTGCCTTACATATGGTGGGTGGTCATAAGGATTTGTGGGTTGATTAGTAATAAAATTGAAGTTCTAACACCTATTTCTACATCCTAGTTGGATATAAGACTAAGATCAGAGTTTAAAGGAAATCAAACAGCAAATGTTAGCAAAATTGTCTAATTTCCACCACAGTTTTCATGGGTTACTGTGGTAGAAGAGAAATAGGAAAGAACTATTATGACTGATAAGGGCATGTTCTTTTTAACTTAATGATGGGAAAGTACAAGATGTCTCGGTTGGTACTAAGCAAACAAAACAGGCAAACGCAAACCTTGGTAATGCTAATTTTGGTGCTTTGATGTTTTCTTTGGTGGTGGTGGGGTGTGTGTGTGTGTGTGTGTGTGTGTGTGCGCGCGCGCGCACATGTGTGTGTTTAATGCTATTTACCATGTAAGTTTAATGTTTGCATTTTACTCACTGATTTTAGGGACAGAACCTACAGGTGCCTTAAAAAGAAGTTCTTTCTTATGGTCTCTTGTTTCTTATTTAGATTTTATAGATTCAGAAAAAGCTTACTCTACCAAGGTATATTCCTCTAATATACCTGATTCTCTGTAGCTGAACATTTCTTTTAAATTCTACATTTGGAATTTTGAGAGGAGTCAGAATGGTCTCTCTTGAAACTGCAGTAAGTTAGTTTTGAGTGATAATGAACTGTGACATTGGCATGGTAGATGATATATATAGTTAGTGCTCAATACATGCTCTGATTGACTCATCATTCTCCATTCAGTCACAGCAGAAGAGAAAACAAAATTTCAGTTCTAAGCCAATCATGGTTCTCATACACTTATAATACCAACTTAAGGCAAATGGAGTTTAAGTTTCTTTTTACCTTTTCTTATTGGCCACTGACTTTGTGTTAAAGGTAGAGGTAGGACACACAAAGATGAATAAGATAGTTCTTGCCTTCAAGGAACTAACAATTTAATGGAGACAGACATATGCACAGTTATAACTCAAAGTGTGGATGGAAGTAAAATATAGGTAAGCCAAAGAAGGAAGAGAAACAAACAGTATATGGGTTCTACCAACTATCATGTAAGTAACCATAGATGAAGGCACAAAAATATCAGTGTGCAGAATATTGGGAGAGCTCAGAGGCAGAGATGAATCACTTGGGACCTTGGCAGGTCCTGCAGGCTTCATGGAAGGGACAGCATTTTTCTGTGTGAACTCAGGAAAGTAGGTTCTCAGCTATTTTGTTGTGATTCTTTTTCATCTTCCTATTTGCAGCTTCTAGTACACCTGCTGTGAACATTCAGCCAGATGTTTCAGGAGGTTGGGATTGGCATACCAAACCAGGTAAAAGTCAACAGGTTATTTTTGTGCACATTTAGCTAATTGCTAAAGCATAATCCTTCCCCTGAGCTGTCATGAGTACTTGCAGAGTATTATAGCTCACCTATGTAATTTCCTAAACACTCACCTTCTGGTGGAGCTTTTTACCTTTGATGACAAGATAGTAGTGTGTTTTATACACTATTTAACTATTCTCAGTTTCATTTGCTGAATGTCTGTCGTGACAATAGAATTAGACGAATCTGGGTATATAGCTAACTCAACCACTTAGAAGCACTTGGATTTTTTATAAGCCTGAACCTCCATTTTATAATCTGTAAAATAGGGTTCATAATTCTTGTCCCACACAGTTGTACAAGTTCAAGTGAAATAGCTTATATGAAATTTTCTGGCATAGAGTAGGTACTGAATAATCTAAATAGTCTTCTTTCTTAACAAAGGATTTTAGTGTTGAATTTGTCTGTAATAAATAAATTCTCTTTCTCATGGCTAATATGGTATTTCTTGAGAGCCATCTTGTATGATTGCATTTCCAGTGCTGTGCAAGTTAACACACACACTCATACACACACACACACACACACACACTATATGCTTATCTCACAGCAACTTTTTGAAGCAGTTGCTATTTCCTTATTTAACCAATGAGAAAATTTTGAAGTTCAGAGAAGTTAAGCAATATGCCAAATTACTCAGCTAGGAAGTAGCAGAGCCAGAATTCAGATCCAGGCCTGACTACAAACCCCATAGGAAAGAATGAAGTCAGGTGATATGAGAGGTGAACACTGGACATAATAGTTTCCAGTGATGGCCAGAAATGACATATGCCTTCTCTGTTCCCTGTCCCTGCTCCAGGCCACTCTTCACTTAAGTCAGAGAAATAAGGTCTAACAACTTCTAACATATTTGCAAACCCTGTCCTAATTTGCCTTCAGAGCAAGATGAGCGGTAGCTCTGGATTTCTGAATTTCAGAATTCAGCCTTGGACAACTAACTCATTTTCAATGATTTTATTTCCTTTTCAGGAAGTTTTGGAGTGGGAAGCAAGTCAGCTGCCACCAGCCCAACGGGATCCTCGCATGGCACACCCACCCATCAAAACAAACCACAGACTCTGGATCCTTTTGCTGACCTTGGGACACTAGGTATGAACTCAGCAGGTTAAGATATAAGTAGCATTTACTTTGGCTACAAAGCCTTACATCCAAATCTCTGGTGTTACCTGGGACCTAAAATAGTATGGGTTCTTAAGCAATACTCTAAAATCTGAGATGGGCTTTTAAAAAAAGAAAACAAGCTTCAAATACTGGGTTGGAATTAACCCCTAGTAAACCATTTCTCCAGTGCCTAATTTTGGATTAGTAATATGAGTACAGTCAGAACCTTCAGGAGCACCTGATAACAGAGTTTGGCTGCAGCAAAGGTAATGAACATGTAGGACAATGCTGAAAAATGAGGCTGGCTAGATAGATTTGTGCCATATGGGGCCCACCATGCACAGGGCTTCCTGTGATGGTACCCCTGAGATCCTCATGTTGGCATCCTGTGTCTTCTGTCCACTGACTACAGTGCTCTCTGGTCAGTTTGTAAGATTCCATACAGAAAATAGACTCTGCATAGTATTTTCAAAATGTTTTCCATCATATGTTAATCATTGTTGCAAGATAAGTGTTTCATGGGGAAGTAATTTTGGAAGCACTAAGTTTAGTGGACTTTGATTATTGTAAAAACTTCTGAGCATAACTGTTCATGGTGATGTTCCCCAAAAGGATACAGGTTGCAGGGTTCTCAAACAATTTCACCAAGGAAACGTTTTTTTCAAGGAACAATTCGTTTGACTAGTATGTCATGAAACCTTTTCTTTCTCCTTTTTCCTTCTTCCTCTGGGCAGTGCGGAGTTAAATAAGGATAGGGTATCCCTGACACAGAGCTTTGAATTGGCCATGCTGATAGTTTAGGTTCTCTTCAGAGCCCTTCTGAAGCTTGAGAGCTAAATTGTCTGTAGGGAATGAGAGCATGACTCCATTTTTGCCAGTAATTGCGTCAGAATCTACCTTCCATCATACACCTGTTAGAATTTTTTTTCTTTTAAGAACTCTCAAAGTCATTTTCCTTTCTTTCTTTTTTCCTTCTTAATATACATTTCAAATTTTAAAACAATAACATCAGATGAAATTCTACTTCAAATAAAATCTTATTCACTGGGCGCCTGGGTGGCTCAGGTGGTTAAGCGTCTGCCTTTGGCTCAGGTCATGATCCCAGGGTCCTGGGATCGAGTCCCACATCGGGCTCCTTGCTCAGCAGGGAGTCTGCTTCTTCTTCTCCCTCTGCCTCTCCCCCTGCTGTTCTCTGTCTCTCTCGCAAATGAATAAATAAAAAAAAAAACTTTAAAAAATTAAAAAATGTTTAAAATCTTATTCACTGTTCATTTTTTATCCATTCCCCAACTATTTACTAAGTGCCCTCTGTGTGCTAACATTGTCTTAATAAAAACCAACTAAACAAACAAAACCAAAACAAAATTCCTGCCTTCCTAAAGCCTGTATTCTAGAAGGGGAAAGAAACAGTAAATGAATAAATATATAATATGGTGTCAAATAATAAAAAATAACAATGGTATTTTAAGAGTTTTACGTGTATCATTTCATTTAATCTCAATCTTTTGAAGTATTGGGACTGGTATCCTCATTTTGCAGATGAGGAAACCGGGGCACAAACGATTAAGTAACACACCCAAGTCCCATGGTTTCAACACCCTGAAGCTCTGGAGCCCACACTCATAAGCCCCATCTTAAGCACTAAAAAAAAAAAAAAAAAAGCAGAGAGCATGTGAGTGATGGATGGCCTGGGGTGTTATTTTAGGTATCAAGTGGTTAGGAAAGGCCTCTTTGAAGAGGTGATCTTTATAGAAAGTTCTTTTTAAAAACCCAGCATCACATTCTGCATTTAGTTGTCATGTCCTTTTAGAAACCTTTAATCTGGAATCATTCCTTTGTCTTTTTTTTTTGCTTTTCATGACATTGATCCTTGAAGGATAGAGGCCCAGTTGAGAAAGTCTCAATTTGGGTTTGATGTTAACTTTGATCACTTGCTTTAGAGGGTGTCTGCCAGGTTTCTTCATTACAAAATTACCATTTTTTCCCTTTGTAATTGATGAGTAATCTGGAGATAATTTGAGACTACCTTATGTGAGAATATCCTGTTCTCCATCTGATTTAGCTACTGGCTTTAGCAGTCATTAATGATTCTTGCCTGAAGCAGTTATTACTATGATGGTTGCAAAATTGTGATTTTCTGATTCTGCCCTTCTTTTTGTGTATATTAATTGGCATTCAAGTGTAAAAAGAATCTCTTTTTCTTTCTCTCTCTCTCTCTGTCTCTCATCAGAATGGACTAATAGATTCCTTTTTGATTCATTACTGTCATTACTTTCTGTAATAGTCACATCTCAGATTTGGTTTGGTTTGTGAAAACCCCTTTTTTCTGGCTCCTATGTCCTTATCACTTGTGTCCATCAGTTTTTGAGAACCTTCTTTCTTTATGGCCCAACAAGATGCTCCAGGCTTGTCTTGAAATATTTGTTCCCCAGTCCTAAAATCAGTCATTCTCCAAGGAATCCTTATTCCTTTTTGTAGAAATGGCATTTGGAAACCAAGTTCTGTGTTCCAAGTGTGTTCATTGGTACTGGAGTGGGTGTCATTGCTGTCTTTCAGGAGCTAGAGAGAGGAGATGAGTGGGTATAACTATATATAAAATCCCATCCAGTACCACAGGGATCTTCCATGCCTTGCCCTATTCTACATATGTGTCTTCCATTGCCCTGGATCTCAACAACACTAACTGTCCTACAACAAAAATAATTTCAGAATAGCTATATCCATATCACTACAACAACAAACCTGCTGGGAGGAGTTCAGGAGTTCTTTGTCAGTTTTGAAAGATAGTAATTCTTACAACTGCTGGGAAAACTGGTTTCCTAAATTTCTTCATTTTTCAAGTCACATAATTTAGGAAATTTAAATGACTTTCCTGAAGCCACACAGTGAACAGGTGTATAAGCAAGGGCTACAAGCCAGAATTTTTGACACCATGGCAAATGCTTTAAGGATTAAAATGAAACTTCTAAATTACATAGCTGCATTTCAGAAAAGACAAAAGACAGTGTCCTTCTCCAAAAGGTATTTTCACATTCAACAATTCTGATGTGAACACTAATGCCTTAGTTCCTCCCATAGACATTCTGATCTAATTGGTCTGGCTGTGGCCTGAGTATAGGGAGTTTTAAAAGCTCCCCAGGTGATTATAATGCACAACCAAGGCTGATAACCACTGCTTTAGCTTTTAATGAGGATAGCAGTGGCCTCTGGGTTTAGCTGCTGCTTTGCATTTTTGCCAGTTCCCAGCTTCAGTAGCATTAAAAATTAAATTTCTGAACATGGGTAGGAATATTCTGGAAGAGTAAGCATCAGAAAATCCTGCAATGTTGATGAGCCTCTTGAGAGCAGTATCAGCATTCGCCTTTTCACCACTGTGTCAGCAGCCTAGCATGTGAAAGATGCTGGATGGTGTTTTATAAATGAATGAATAAATGGCAGTGCAATGGACTATGGAAGCTTTTTTTTTAGTTTTTAGGCTTTTCCATGTTTTTTGAATTTTAAAATTATATACATATGTGTGTATACACACACACACTCACGCACACATATATATATTCAGAAGGAAGATAGTAAACATCCTTAAACTGTAAAATGAAATCCCAGTGCAGAATGAATACCCAGCCTAAGGTGTATGTTGATGTGCTGTTGGCAGGTGGGCCTAGGGGCTCATGAAAGAGGCTTCATGCTCTGAGTTACACACTGACAGGGGGCAATGCCATGAGTCCTTATGATGTACCAGTGTATACTGGGCATATGAACTTGCATCATATTATAATATATAATGCCTCCTAATTTGCTTAATTCAGGGTTTGTGAAATATTTTCATAAAGTCTTTGTGTCTTTATGGTATACCTATGATATAGATGTAGTTCTGGTTTTACAAATGAGGAAACTGAGGCTCCATGAGGGGAAGGTTTTCACTGAGCTTCAGGAGAGCAAGGATTTTCTGTAGATCATATTCCCAATGCTGTGTTCCCAGTGCCCAGCACAGTAGATGGCACACAGATGCCCTATAAATACTGATGAATGAATGGATGGGTGGATGGATGAATGAGTATATGCGTGTGTGAATGGGTGATAAAGCTGAAACTCAAACTCAGATTGACTCCAAGTCACAGTGTCCATAATGCAGCATTCCCAGTGGAGAAGGAAGGAGTCCTAGATGAGAATAAAGGGGAAGATCTATAGAGAGAAGAGACAGTAAGGGATAAATTGTAGTAACAGGTTCAGAGATTTGGGGAGGAATTAGGGATTATGGGTGCAGCAAATAAGCATGACATTTGGAGGTAGGATGCCTATAGTCAAGTCCCAGCACCGTTAACTAACTGTGTGATCATAAGCATGTCAGGAAACCTCTCTGATATTTGGATTTAAATCCAAATTTTTAAAGTGGGGTCAACATGAAAAAATGCTCAACATCACTTGGCATCAGGGAAATACAAATCAAAACCACAATGAGATACAGGTCAGAATGGCTAAAATTAACAATTCATGAAGCAACAGATGTTGGCAAGGATGTGGAGAAAGGGGAACCCTTTTACACTGTTAGTGGGAATACAAACTGGTGCAGCCACTCTAGAAGACAGTATGGAGGGGTGCCTGGGTGACTCAGTCGTTAAGCGTCTCCCTTCGGCTCAGGTCATGATCCCAGGGTCCTGGGATCGAGCCCCACATCAGGCTCTCTGCTCTACCGGAAGCCTGCTTCTCCCTCTCTTACTCCCTTTGCCTATGTTCCCTCTCTCTGTGTGTCTGTCTCTGTCAAATAAATAAATAAAATCTTAAAAAAAAGACAGTATGGAGGTTCCTCAAAAAGTTAAAAATAGAACTACCCCATGATCCAGAAATTGCACTATTAGGTATTAATCCAAAGGATACAAACAGTGATTTGAAGGGGCACATGCATCCCAATGTTTATAGCAGCAAAATGTCCACAATAGCCAAACTATGGGAAGAGTCCAGATGTCCATCAACAGATGAATGGATAAAGAAGATGTGGTATATATATATATATGTGTGTATATATATATATATATATATACACACACACACACACACATACACAATGGAGTATTACTCAACCATCAAAAAGAATGAAATCTTGCCATTTGCAATGATGTGGATGGAACTAAAGGGTATTATGCTAAGCGAAATGAGTCAGTCAGAGAAAGACAAATATCATATGATTTCACTCATATATGCAATTTAAGAAACAAATCAGATGAACATAGGGGAAGGGAAGGAAAAATAAGACAAAATCAGAGTGGGCAACAAATCATAAGAGACTCTTAAATATAGGAAACAAACTGAAGGTTGCTGGAGAGGAGCTGGGTAGGGGATGGGGTACCTGGGGGATGGGCATTAGGAAGACACTTGATGGAATGAGCACTGGTTATATGCAACTGAAGAATCACTAAATTCTACCTATGAAATTAATAATACACTATATATTAATTAAATTTAAAATAAAAATAAATTTAAAAATAAATATTTATGGATTAAAAATATAAAAAAAATAAAGTGGGATCAATAGTACTGCCTACCTCCTTAAGAGTGTTGTATAGATTGAAAGCAGTAATATACACAAACGTATTTTGTGCACAAATTATAGTTATTTTATTACCACTGTTACTTTGGGTTTGGTGCATGAAAGCGTTCCTAGAGATCACCACATTTCAATTTCTCATTTTACCTCTTTAAACACAAGCCATGGCTGGTCTTTGTATTTTGGAAACAGCCCAACATGTATGCAGCAAGTTCTTAAAAGTTAGGAGATTGTGGAATCAGAATTCTACTTAAATTCCCGGCACAAACTAATAATCATTTTTGTAAAGCTTGAGTAAGATCCTTTGCCTGGTTCAAAGTTGTCATAGTGTTGGCTGTGTTTACTCTCCTGCAATGAAATGCAAGAAGTGTGAAATTGAAACCTACTTGTGAAATTTCAAAAACATCTTTGTTTACTCCTGGGCACTAACCACGTTTGTACTTATAATAAATAATTATTAACCTTAATCATTGACATGTAAGTAGTACCTTAGTGAGTGAACGTATTTTGCTTTATTCTCTGTTCTTGTCATTTGGTAGTTTTTCTTCCAGTGAAAAAACCGAATGTGCTTAGAAGGTGGGAAGGAGAGAAGAGATGGCACAGTGGGAAAAGCCAGGGCTCTTCAGGCTTGGAGTCAAAGACTTGGATTCATGTCCCAGTTCTGCCACTTGTTGGTTGTGTGACTTAAAAAAAAATCACTTAACTGCTCTGAACTGCCGTTTGTTTATCTGAAGAAAATGATGGGGCTATTAATACATACCTAAAAATGTCACTGTGGGGATTAAAGGAAATATATACCTGCAGTTTCTTTAACTATTAGGAAGGTTAATGGTGCTATCAGTCAAGGTCATTTCCACTAAAGTCACTGAAAACAGTAACTTGGGACACAGGAATTAGAGGCTACTCAAAATAGCATTCCTCTCTGTCTCTCTTTTTGTTTCCCTAGGTAGTTCTTCATTTGCCAGCAAACCCACCACGCCAACTGGATTGGGTGGAGGATTTCCACCTCTCAGCTCGCCGCAGAAAGCATCTCCCCAGCCCATGGGGGGAGGGTGGCAGCAGGGAGGTGGCTATAGCTGGCAGCAGACACAGTCTAAGCCACAGACCGGCATTCCCCACTCGTCTCCCCAGAACCGACCCAACTACAACGTGAGCTTCTCAGCCATGCCTGGGGGGCAGAGCGATCGTGGGAAAGGATCAGCTAATTTGGGTAAGGATGATGGTGTGTAGCCTGACCAGAGGGTAGCCTGTATTGTCATACTACATGTATGTATGTATGTCCGAAGAAGGAGACAGAAAACGATTCCAGGGCTTTCTGAGTGAATCTTATAGTTGTAGAGGCACACCATGATCCCTACCTCCCATTCTGTGCCTGAAGCACCTGGGTTTACCATGCTCTTAACACTTCCGTTATTTTGTGACTGTTAGTTCACTTGTCTGTCTCCTTCCACATGGAGACCGAAGGGAGAGCAGGGACTGTGTCATGTTATCATTAGCACCTAGCTTAGTAGCACTAAATGAATATGGAGTGGATATGCATGGAGGGGTGGCTGGTTCTTGAAGCTGTTATTCCTTTGGAAGAGGGGGTAGAAGAGAAAGGTTGGGAACCTTGCAAGCACTGTTCATATTTGCCCTTGGATCCTGATTAGAGGAGTGTGTACATCTTGGACATTTGGTCTTGCTTATGCTCTGGTTGGTGGATGTTTCTGAGATCGTTCGGTTTTCTGTGATGGTTTTTTTTTCCCTCTCTTCTAAGAAGAAAGTTAAAAGAACACAAAATGGGCCAACAGCTAAGGATAGAGGATGCTTTGGATAGGACTCTTTCTCCCCCCGCCCCTTTTTTTTGAATGGGATTCTTGATAACAAGGAAAAAATAATGTATTTTGCCTAGCTGGGATGGTTAATTTTGAGTTTCTTTTTTTTTTTTAAAGATTTAATTTATTTATTTGACAGAGACAGACACAGCGAGAGAAGGAACACAAGCAGGGGGAGTGGGAGAGGGAGAAGCAGGCTCCCCGCTGAGCAGGGAGCCCGATGTGGGGCTCGATCCCAGGATCCTGGGATCATGACCTGAACCGAAGGCAGACGCTTAACGACTGAGTCACCCAGGCGCCCCTAATTTTGAGTTTCTTAAACAGCCTATTATAATGTATTTTACATCTCAATTGATCTGATCATACTCAAGAACTAAATGTATAGATGTTTAGGGACATGGTGAGGAAACGGGCCTTTCTCTCTATGGAATATGGAAAAGGAAATCCTACTTTCTCTAGTAACTGTAGCTAACATTGAGGGCTTACTATGTGTCAGGTACTATTCTAAACAGTTTCATGTATTATTTCATATAATCTTCAAAACCAACCCCATGTCGTAGATTTAAAAAATCTATGACAGAGATAAATTATTTCTTAAGTCTGTACAGCTTGTAAGTGACAAAGGCAAGATTGGAACCCAGGCAATGTTGCTCCAGAACCCCTTCTCTTAACTGTCACACTCTACTGGATATGACACAAGTGCCTTCTCAAAATAATAACATGACAGGGATTTTTTTCTTGGGAATATGTAACATCATGTTTGTTCTTTGGTTAGCAGTGGATATTGCTTAGACAATTCCATAGAGTCTTGGGACTTCCCCTCCATTTTTATTTTGAGTAGATGTAGGGTGACTGGCTTCAGTCAGGAGATATTTATGGACCATCTTCAGTGTAGAAAACATTGGGGATTATGGCAGTGAACAAGACAGACAAATTCCATCCTCTCAGACCACTTACGTTTTAGCATGTGCATGTGCGGGTATGTGTTCAGAATGTCTTACAGTATAGAGATGGCAAATGGGTTTCATTTCACATGCCAACTTTGGTTGATGGGCATTGACAGCATGGATTTCCGTGTTTTGGTTCTGTTGTAATATAATAAACATTTAAAAAGGCACTATTCTAAACCCTTTAAGATGTTAACTATCAATTCTCACAACAACCCTATGAGGTAAGTAGTATTGTTAACACCATCCCTGTTTTACAGATGAGGAAACTGAGGCATGTCGATAAATGACTTGCTCCAAGGTTACATTGGCCAGTAAGTGGCAGAGGTATAATTCAAGCCTGGGGAGTCCAGCTCCAGAGACTTTGCTCTTGCCACCATGCCTCTCCAAACATTAAGAAAGATTATGAAGCCACAAGCAGACTTGGTGAAAAAGAGCACTGTTGGGAGGGACTCGAACTGTCAGCTGGGTGTGGGCAGGAAAGCAGTGGCATCTGTGGACTGCAAGTACCCAAACTCAGGTGTTCGTCCCATTGCTGATACTAACTAGTTGTATGACTAGAGCGGGTGGGGTCGGGGGGGCATCACGAGTATCCTCAGCTATGAAAAGATGATACAGTCGGAAAAGTGTTACGGAGTTGGATTTAGTCTAACAATCTAGCCTGGAGTCCTAGCTTTGCCACGGACGTGGTATATGATTCTGGGCAAATCTCTTAGGTTCTCCAGACCTCATTTTCCTCATCTGTCAAATGGGCATGACAGTCTCATACCCTACTCATTGGGTAAGTATAAGGAGTAAGAGGACTAATGCATGTGAAAGCACCTTGGAGACCCTAAGTGTTATGAGGTGATAGGATTTTATGTTTAAGAGTAAAAATTATAGGGGGAGGAGCAAGATCGCGGAGGAGTTTCATCTGGTCCCAGGAATTCAGCTAGATAGTTATCAAATCACTCTGAACACCTACAAACTCAACAGGAGATCAAAGAAAAGAATAGCAACAACTCTCTGAAAGAAAAGTGACCACTTTCTGGAAGGTAGGACGTGCGGAGAAGTGAATCCGAGGCGATATTCAGGAGGATAGACGGCAGGGGAGGGGGCCTCTGCCGGCCGCTTCTGGCAAGTGATAGAGCCTCGGAGCACAAAATCGGGACTTTTAGAAGTCGGCTCCGCTGAGGGACGTTGCCCCACTGGCTAAGGGTGGGGGGGGGGGGAGCCCTCGCTGGGACAGTGTGGTCTCAGGACCCTCGGGGCCACAGGAAGCCCAGGGGTGCCTGAGTGCGGCAGAGCTCCCAGGTATCGGAGCGGGGAAGCCAGCTGCAGAGACGGAGCCGAGGCACAGGCTCGCAGCTCGGGGTTGCCATAAACCGTCATCTGTGGCCCAGTCGGGCCACTGCTCTTCCAGCAGGGACCCAACAAGCGGCAGATCCGGGGAGACTCCCCTTCCTCCCCCAGGAGGAGTGGCGCAGGAGCGCACCGCAGGAATCTGCTGGGTTTGGAGACTCCAAACAGGGTCGTGTGCCAGAGACAGAAATGCTCGGTCACAGGCCGGGTGAGCATGGAGTGCAGCCGGAGACCGGGGAGACAGGAGTGATTGACTGCTTTTCTCTGGGGGCGCACTGAGGAGTAGGGCCCCGAGTTCTCAGCTCCTCCGGGGCCATTTTCATTCTTGTCCTCCAAAGCTGCACGGAAAGCTTGCAGGAAACAAAAGCTCCCGAGAGCAAACCCAAGCAGATTACCTAGCTTGGCCCGGCAAGGGCAGGGCAATTCCACCTCCAGCAAAGACATTTGAGAACCATGGCAACAGGCCCCTCCCCCAGAAGATCAGAAAGAACATCCAGCCAAGACCAAGTTTACCGATCAATGAGAACGGCACAACTCCAGCACTAGGGGAATACAGCACAGAGAATTCATGGCTTTTCCCCCATGATTCTTTATTCTTTCAAAGTTAATTTTTTTAATTTTCTTTATTTTTTTCTTTTTCTATTTTTTTTACATTTTTCTTCTTTCCTTTTTCAACTAACATATTTTATCAATTCCTTTTTTCAAAATCTTTTTTAATTTTCACTTTTACAGTCATATTCTATCCCTTCATTGTACTTAACCTTATTTTGTGTGTGTATAGATATATATAAGTTTTTCTTTCTTTAGAATTTTGGGATACAGTTTCTTCTAACAGACCAAAATATACCCTAAATCTAGTGTATGGCTTGGTTCTAGTCTCCTGCCTGATCACATTCTCTACTTTTTTTTTTTCAACCAACTTCTTATCTTATCAATTCCTTTTTTAAAATCTTTTTTAATTTTCATCTTTATAGTCATATTTCATCCCTTCATCGTATTTACCCTTATTTTTGTATATATATAAGTTTTTCTTTCTTTAAAATTTTGGGAGGCAGTTTCTTCTAACAGACCAAAATATACCCAAAATCTAGTGTGTGGCTCTATTCTGTTCACCAGCCTGATCATATTTTTTTCCTCTTTTCTTTCCCCCCTGGTTTTGGGTCTCTTCTGATTTGTTTAGTGTATATTTTTCTGGGGTCGTTGTTACCATTTTAGTATTTTGTTCTCTTATTCATCTATTCTTCTCTGGACAAAATGACAAAATGGAAAAACTCACCTCAAAAAAAAAAAAAAAGAACAAGAGGCAGTAACCACTGCCAGGGACCTAATCAATGTGGACATTAGTAAGATGTCAGAACCAGAGTTCAAAATGACAATTATAAAGATACTAGCTGGGCTTGAAAAAAGCATAGAAGATACTAGAGAATCCCTTTCTGGAGATATAAAAGAAATAAAATGTAACCAAGTCAAAATCAAAAAGGCTATTAATGAGGTGCAATCACAAATGGAGGCTCTAACTGCTAGGATAAATGAGGCAGAAGAGAGAATTAGTGATACAGAAGACCAAATGATGGAGAATAAAGAAGCTGAGAAAAAGAGAGATAAACAACTACTGGATCACGAGGGGAGAATTCAAGAGATCAGTGATACCATAAGACAAAACAATATTAGAATAATTGGGATCCCAGAAGAAGAAAGAGAGAGAGGGGCAGAAGGTATATTGGAACAAATTAAAGTGGAGAATTTCCCTAATTTGGGGAAGGAAACAGGCATCAAAATCCAGAAGGCACAGAGAACACCCCTCAAAATCAGTAGAAATAAGTCACAGCCTGACATCTAATAATAAAATTTACAAGTCTCAGAGACAAAGAGAAAATCCTGAAAGCAGCTTGGGACGAGAGGCCTGTAACCTACAACAGTAGAAACATTAGATTGGCAGCAGACCTATCCACAGAGACCTGGCAGGCCAGAAAGGACTGGCATGATATATTCAGGGCACTAAATGAGAAAAATATGCAGCCAAGAATACTATATCCAGCTTGGCTGTCATTGAAAATAGAAGGAGAGATAAAAAAGCTTCCAAGACAAACAAAAACTAAAAGAATTTGTGAACACCAATACCAGCCCTATAAGAAATATTGAAAGGGGTCCTCTAAGCAAAGAGAGAGCCTAAAAGTAACAGAACAGAAAGGAACAGAGGCAATACAATGGCACTAAATTCATATCTTTCAATAGTTATCTTGAACGTAAATGGGCTAAATATCCCAATCAAAAGACACAGGGTATCAGATTGGATAAAAAAACAAGACCCATTGATATGCTTTCTGCAAGAGACTCATTTTAGACCGAAAGACACTTCCAGATTGAAAGCGAAGGGGTGGAAAAACCATTTACCATGCTAATGGACATCAAAAGAAAGCTGGGGTGACAATCCTTGTATCAGACAAATTAGATTTTAAACCAAAGACTATAATAAGAGATAAGGAAAGACACTATATCATACTTAAAGGGTCTATCCAACAAGAAGATCTAACAACTGTAAATATCTATGCCCCTAACATGGGAGCAGCCAATTATATAAGCCAATTAATAACAAAATCAAAGAAACACATCGACAATAATACAATAATAGTAGGGGACTTTAACACCCCCCTCACTGAAATGGACAGATCATCTAAGCAAAAGATCAACAAGGAAATAAAGACTTTAAATGACACAGTGGACCAGATGGACTTCACAGATACATTCAGAACATTCTATCCCAAAGCAACAGAATACACATTCTTCTCTAGTTCCCATGGAACATTCTCCAGAATAGATCACATCCTAGGTCAAAATCAGGTCTCAACTGGTACCAAAAGATTGGGATCATTCCCTGCATATTTTCGGACCACAATGCTTTGAAACTAGAACTCAATCACAAGAGGAATGTTGGAAAGAACTCAAATTCATGGAGGTTAAAGAGCATCCTACTAAAGAATGAATGGGTCAACCAAGAAATTAAAGAAGAATTTAAAAAATTTCATGGAAACCAATGGAAATGAAAACAAAACTGTTCAAAATCTTTGGGATGCAGCAAAGGCGGTCCTAATAGGAAAGTATATAGCCATACAAGCCTTTCTCAAGAAACAAGAAAGGTCTCAAATACATAACCTAACCCTACACCTAAAGGAGCTGGAGAAAGAATAGCAAATAAAGCCTAAACCCAGCAGGAGAAGAGAAATAATAAAGATCGGAGCAGAAATCAATGAAATAGAAACCAAAAGGACAGTAGAACTGAACAACGAAACTAGGAGCTGGTTCCTTGAAAGAATTAAGAAGACTGATAAACTCCTGGCCAGACTTATCAAAAAGAAAAGAGTAAGGACCCAAATAAATAAAATCATAAATGAAAGAGCAGCGATTACAACCAACACCAAAGAAATACAAACAATTATAGGAACGTATTATGAGCAACTATATGCCAGCAAATTAGACAATCTGGAAGAAATGGATACATTCCGAGAGATGTATAAACTACCCAAACTGAACCAGGATGAAATAGAAAACCTGAATAGAAGGGAAATTGAAGCAGTCATCAAAAATCTCCCAACAAACAAGAGCCCAGGGCCAGATGGCTTCCCAGGAGAATTCTACCAAACATTTAAAGAAGAATTAATACCTATTCTTCTGAAACTCTTCCAAAAAATAGAAATGGAAGGAAAACTTCCAAACTCATTTTATGAGGCCAGCATTACCTTGATCCCAAAACCAGACAAAGACCCCATCAAAAAGGAGAATTACAAACCGATATCTCTGATGAACATGGATGCAAAAATTCTCACCAAAATACTAGCCAATAGGATCCAACAGTACATTAAAAGGATTATTAACCACGACCAGGTGGGATTTATTCCTGGGCTGCAAGGTTGCTTCAACATCTGCAAATCAATCAGTGTGATACAATACATTAATAAAAGAAAGAACAAGAACCATATGATCCTCTCAATAGATGCAGAAAAAGCATTTGACAAAGTACAGTATCCTTTCTTGATTAAAACTCTTCACAGTGTAGGGATAGAGGGTACATACCTCAATATCATAAAAGCCATCTATGAAATACCCACAGCGAGTATCATTCTCAATGTGGAAAAACTGAGAGCTTTTCCCCTAAGGTCAGGAACATGGCAGGGATGTCCACTATCACCACTGCTCTTCAACATAGTACTAGAAGTCCTAGCCTCAGCAATCAGACAACAAAAAGAAATAAAAGACATCCAAATCAGTGAAGAAGAAGTGAAACTCTCTTTGCAGATGATATGATACTTTATGTGAAAAACCCAAAAGACTCCACCCCAAAACTGCTAGAACTCATACAGGAATTCAGTAAAGTGGTAGGATATAAAAATCAATGCACAGAAATCAGTGGCATTTCTATACACCAACAACGAGACAGAAGAAAGAGAAATTAAGGAGTCTATCCCATTTACAATTGCACCCAAAACCATAAGATACCTAAGAATAAATGTAACCAAAGAGGAAAAGAATCTGTACTCAGAAAACTATAGAATACTCATGAAAGAAATTGAGGAAGACACAAAGAAATGGGAAAATGTTCCATGCTTATGGATTGGAAGAACAAATATTGTGGAAATGTCTATGCTACCTAGAGCAATCTACACATTTAATGCAATCCCTATCAAAATACCATCCACTTTTTTCAAAGAAATGGAAATGGAACAAATAATCCTAAAATTTGTATGGAACCAGAAAAGACCCCGAATAGCCAGAGGAATGTTGAAAAAGAAAAGCAAAGCTGGTGGCATCACAATTCTGGACTTCAAGCTCTATTTCAAAGCTGTCATCATCAAGACAGTATGGTACTGGCACAGAAACAGACACATAGATCAATGGAACAGAATAGAGAGCCCAGAAATGGACTCTCAACTCTATGGTCAACTAATCTTCGACAAAGCAGGAAAGAATGTCCAATGGAATAAAAGACAGTCTCTCCAACAAATGGTGTTGGGAAAATTGGACAGCTACATGCAGAAGAATGAAACTGGACCATTTCCTTATACCACACACAAAAATAGAGCAAAATGGATGAAAAACCTCAATGTGAGACAGGAATCCATCAACATCCTTGAGGAGAACACAGGCAGCAACTTCTTTGACCTCAGCCTCAGCAACTTCTTCTAGAAACATCGCCAAAGGCAAGGGAAGCAAGGCAAAAATGAACTATCGGGACTTCATTAAGATAAAAAGCTTTTGCACAGCAGAGGAAACAGTCCACAAAACCAAAAGACAACGGACAGAATGGGAGAAGATATTTTCAAATGACTATCAGATAAAGGGCTAGTATCCAAAATCTATAAAGAACTTATGAAACTCAACACCCAAAGAACAAATAATCCAATCCAGAAATGGGCAGAAGACATGAACAGACATTTCTGCAAAGAAAACATCCAAATGGCCAACAGACACATGAAAAAGTGCTCAACATCACTCAGCATCAGGGAAATCCAAATCAAAACCTCAATGAGATAGCACCTCACACCCGTCAGAATGGCTAAAATTAACAAGGCAGGAAATGACAGATGTTGGCGAAGATGCGGAGAAAGGGGAACCCTCCTAACACTGTTGGTGGGAATGCAAGCTGGTGCAGCCACTCTGGGAAACAGTATGGAGGTTCCTCAAAAAGTTGAAGATAGAGTTACCCTACGACCCAGCAATTGCACTACTGGGTATTTACCCCCAAGAGACAAATGTAGTGATCCGAAGGGGCACATGCACCCCAATGTTTATAGCAGCAATGTCCATAATAGCCAAGCTATGGGAAGAGCCTAGATGTCCATCAACAGATGAATGGATAAAGAAGATGTGGTACACACACACACACACACACACACACACACACACACACACAGGAATATTATGCAGTCATCAAAAAGACCCCAAAATCTTGCCTTTTGCAATGACATGGATGGAACTAGAGGGTATTATGCTAAGTGAAATAAGTCAGAGAAAGACAATTATCATATGATCTCACTGATATGAGGAATTTGAGAAACAAGACAGAGGATCATCTGGGAAGGGAGGGAAAAATGAAACAAGACGAAACCAGAGGGAGACAAACCATAAGACACTCTTAATCTCAGGAAACAAACTGAGGGTTGCTGGAGTGGAGGGGGTGGGAGGGATGAGGTGGCTGGGTGATGGACATTGGGGAGGGTGTGTACTATGGTTAGCTTTGTGAATTGTGTAAGACTGAGGAATCACAGACCTGTACCCCTGAAACAAATAATACATTCTTTGTTAATAAAAAAAAATCTTTGGTGGATTAAAAATAAAAAGAGTAAAAATTATAATGATTTTTCAAAAATTCTGTTACAGAAGGGAAACAAAAAGCAGCTGACTTTGAAGACCTACTTTCTGGTCAAGGTTTCAATGCACACAAAGACAAAAAGGGGCCTCGAACAATAGCTGAGATGAGAAAGGAGGAAATGGCTAAGGAAATGGATCCTGAGAAATTAAAGGTGAGTGAGCCCCTGGCCCAGTGTGATTATTTGGTGTGACTGTCATGTGACAAGGTCACAGGTGTGGAGCCATCAATGTTCCTGGTTCCTGGCTTTCTCACTGCTTCCCCCCAACTTTCAACCAGACTAGTTCTTTTTTTTTTTTTTAAGATTTTATTTATTTGACAGAGAGAGACAGTGAGAGCAGGAACACAAGCAGGGGGAGTGGGAGAGGGAGAAGCAGGCTTCCCGCTGAGCAGGGAGCCCGATGTGGGACTCGATCCCAGGACCCTGGGATCATGACCTGAGCTGAAGGCAGACGCTTAATGACTGAGCCACCCAGGTGCCCTCAACCAGACTAGTTCTACTTCTATCTGTTTTGATTCTAGGAGTCTAGGTAGCATTGGATTTGGGGAAAAAGAGTAGTTCCCCATTAAAAAAAAAAATTGTAAACCAGGTACTCCTGGTTTATCCTGGAAACAAAAGGGTAGTTATGGGGATGAATTGTGTGAGGTAGTGGAGAATGGGTTTGTAAAAGATCAAGAGAACTGGAATGTTCTCACAGATGGAAAGATTGAATTCCTACCTGACGAAGTACTACATATGCTGACACTAGAACTAACTGGGAGATGGCGCTCTAATCTGTTACTGCATTAAATGATCTCCAGAACCAGGATTAGCACAGCTAGTCCATCTTACACATTTTGAAAAAATGTAACATAATTCCAGATTTGTTAAAGATATATAGATTCTTGGATACTCTTTTGAGGGCAATATGGGATCCTTTGTTTGCATGTGCCTTTACTTCATGTAACACCAGAGAGATTTCATATTTCTTCCAAAATTCTATGCTCCATCTCAATAACATGTGTTCATTAGGCAAACTCTGACAGTTTTCTTTGAAAGAAAGTGGTTCTTGTCTTTTAAACAATGCTTGGTTATTTAGCTGGTACAGGGTATTTAGTTGCTTGGGAGAGTAGCCATCATTCACCTTGGCTAAACCATCGTTCACCAAAAAATACCCACCGAGCTTCTATTATGTGCTAAATGCTGGTGCATTCTTACAAACCCTTCAACTTAATCACCTCATTTGCTCAAACTGAGAAGATTCAAATTATGAGCATTCATATAACTACTTGGATTCATTCATTTAACAATTTTTGAGCTGTGTTTTGAACCAGACATGTTATTTGGCTCCTGAGTTATACTGATGTATAAGAAACAGTACCTTTTCTCAAACAACTCTGCCTAATGGCAAAGAAAGACAAACACATGGGTGATTTCGATAAAGTATCACACATATGATAGAAACATGTTCAAGGGATTAGCTCAAAGAAATTTGTTCTTTTTTTCAAGGGGTACTTATTTAGTGTCTGTCTGCCAGACACTCGACAGAGGCAGGTAACCCAGACCAAAGTAGACATGGGTGTGCACCCATGGAGTTCATACTTTAAGAGTGAGATTAACTCTGGGGTGGGGCCGAGAGGGAATTCAAGCTGTCAAAGGTGAACAGTACAAAATTCCTGAGCAGGCTTTAAAAGGATAATGAAGGGTTAACCAGAAAGACAAGGAGATGGAGGTGGAAAAGGATCCCAGGTTGAGGAAACAACTTGGAGTACTCACAGAGCCCCAAGTAGTTGATGTTGCTGGGGCAGGAGGGGTTTCCAGAGTCTTGGTGGAGACCTTTGGGATTTGAAAACATTTGAATTTCCTAATTCCCTCTGCGTTGACAGATTCTGGAATGGATTGAAGGCAAAGAGAGGAATATCAGAGCACTTCTGTCCACGATGCACACTGTGCTGTGGGCTGGGGAGACCAAGTGGAAACCAGTTGGCATGGCAGACCTGGTAACACCTGAGCAGGTGAAAAAGGTGTACAGGAAGGCTGTGCTGGTGGTGCACCCAGATAAAGTGAGTATAACTTGCCCTTTACGATACAAGAGAAATTAAACTATGTAATACAATAATGGAGTGAGGGGGCTTTACTCAGGTGTATGATTTACCACTGACTAACTTTTAGGGATCAGACATAAATTGTGTCCTGGCCTATAACAAATAGTAAGGGCGGGCTAAGAGCTGGACAGAGGAAAATTTTTCTCTTGTGGAGATATAGCAGTATGTTTAGCCACAACTATAGGGAAGGAGCTTTAGAATGTAGTTGGCAAAATTGGTGGGAATCAACAAAATATTCAAAATGGACCTAAATTCATCATTCTATTGATGATGCCAGTTTATGTTTTCATGGAAGTATATCCACATATAGGTGCTCTACAATGTCAGAAACTACCACATGGCCCCAGTTGAAATCATCGTAATACATAGAAACCTCTTAGAGAGAAGTGAGTCACCTTGCTGTCATATAGATGAAGTCGTTGTTATTTATACCAGTCCTGTTATGTGAGGCTGTGGTTGAAATGCCACTTGGGAACACATGCTTGAATTTGATATATTTGATTTTCATTTCTCCGTGCTTTTGGTGATTAGTCTGAAGAGAAGAGTTAATGAGAAACAATGTGTTTCAGTGAGTCAAATGAGAATGGGAAACAAGAGCCTAGAAAAACACGCAAACTCTATGCCCGTGTCACCGGTCGCCAAGAACTTAATTTTATTTAGAAATGGGAAAATAGGAATTTACACTTGATCTTAGCCAAAAGGCCGAGAAGTGATGGGAAAATAGGAATATAGAAATACAATCAATTATAGATAGGCTGTCATGAGCCTTTGTCATTGGTAGGTACTTCTGGAGAATGGGTGCGTCTTTCATTACTCAGTAAGTGCTCTGTTTCTACTCATTCACGGACTACTGTTACCATATGTGAATTCCTAAGGGGAAGGAGTTCTGGGGAGGTCATAGTAATTAGGGTCACATAGATTGAGCTATAAAAAGAGAAATGGCCTATTAGAAAAACATTTCAATTACTTGGAGCCCCCATATTAGCAGTGAAAATTGTAATACAAGTAAAATTTTGGTCTGTAGTATCTAATGTGTTGTTTTGTTTTTGTTTTTTCTACAGGCTACCGGGCAACCTTATGAACAATATGCAAAGATGATTTTCATGGAGCTCAATGATGCCTGGTCTGAATTTGAAAATCAAGGTCAAAAGCCCTTATATTAATTTATGAGCTTTTCCATCTCTGCTGCAGACCTGTGCTAATGCTTAGTGTGCGTCACAATTCCGAAGTTTTCACAGGTGAACCAAAAACTCCAGTAACGTGTATCTAGTACTAAACTGTTAAATTACTCATTAATTAATTCCTCATTGATAAAGAATGTGGATGTTTGTTTCCTCAAGTCCCCACCATAAAAAGTCCAAAGCAGGGGAGGAACTTTTAGTCAGACGACCTTGTGGAGTTAAAACATTCCAGCGTGCCCTCTGGGGAGCTGACTCAGCATTTTGTGGGGAGATGGAAACAGGTCACCGAAGGCGTAACACCCATCTCATTGTCTGAGAACAGGATTAATGAGCAAAAGCTATGATAATTGGATTACATGATGGATTTTGACTAATGGTTTTTAGATTTTCTGGGAAAGATGTAATTTGAGCCATGGCTTTACATAGATACTAGGAACACAACCACGGAATATTTTATTTTTATGGAAATTTACAATGGTCTTTAGCATAATACTGTATACTTCTTTTGGTCAAGAGGACTGACTGATGTAAAAGAACTTGAACTGTGGGAAGTGATTGTATTACAATCCAGTGATTGCCAACTCTTCCTGGATAAGCTAAAACTTAGTGGAAATGCTGACTAAAGAAAACAGGCAACTCTGTGGAGATAGACATCTTTGTTCCTGGTCAGAAAGGTGGGCTGCTACCTTCCTCTCCCTTTAGAAAACTGTGGTTGCTTAAAGAAAATGTCTTCATGATGTAATTTCAACTCTAAACCTGATTTGAAAGAAACAATTTTGCCATAAGGCTTCATGCTCTTTCTTTTGCTTAGTCAAGAAAATGTTCTTAGCTGGAAACAGGTTGCGAGGCAGTTTGGCAAAGTCACATTGTATCAGGACCGACATCTAGGAAGGAGTCCCTGTCCTCTAGGTTTGTGAGCGGTTGTGGTGAGAGAGTAGAAACCCCACACTGAACACGAGTAATGTGGTAGGCGCAGCTGTGGGGGGAGAGCTGTGCTCACCTTCCCACTGAGTCAGGTGGCTTGTCAGGATCCAGGCAAATGGTTCCCCTCCCACCTGTTGAAACTGGATCCCTTGGATTATTACAGTGGGGTTTATTGTTTTCAAAGTAGCTGGAGGTCCACAGGAACAGCATTCACACAAGGGCATCTGTGAAAGCCAAGCAAGAAGGAGACCTTTGCAGACTTCACACTGGTTGGATTTCAGTCCAGTGTTTTAGCTGCTTCTCATTTTGAGGGCTCAGCAGTTGCTATTCCGTGACTTCAGGAAGTCTCTCTGGGTGTGCACATACACGATGTGCATAGTATATATATGCAAAGCAGATGGGCAAAAAGATTTACATGCTAATCTTAAAAGTTCATGCTCAATATTGTGAAAAGCTTTCAAAAATTGTTTTTAAAAGACAATCATTTTTTGTTTCTATTTTAATTTTCTTGTGGCAAACTGTACCAGAAAAGCAGCATGTCAAAAATACTTTATGTTCTATATAGAACTCTCTGTCTTTCTTTCTTGCTTGCTTACTTTCTTGCTTTCTTTCTCTTCCTTCCTTTTTTGGTTATGTTTGTTATTTATTTTACCCTTTACTGAAAATGTGAAACTCACAGAAGATGTTCTCTTTTTAATTATATAGCTGTAAACTGTTCAAGGTAACCATAACAAAATAGGTGTTATTTATTAACGTATTATGAAATAATGTTTGATCCAGTATGTGCTTGTCTTATTTAAAATTGGAATGTGAGACATGTTGCTGTGACCTGGTTTTTTTTTTTTTTTCTCATTCACGTTTGTAGATATTGTGTGAACTACAGTATATAATGATAATAATTAAAAGAATATTATGTGAATGTCACATACATTTTGAAATGATAGAACTATATTAGCTTTGTATCATGTTTGGGTAATTCATCAATGTTCACAATACAAAACATCATTAAACATTATGTAATTAGCAATGAGAAAGAATCTTACCTAACTTATTGAATTTGGGATTTCCTTCATCTCTTTTCCAGATACATTATAATTCTGGACCCCTATTTATCTCAAAACTCTTAACATATGCAGACCAACAGGTTTTTGCATTCCTTTTAAATATCTGGTTGTGACAAACCTTGTTGTTGATCAGATTCACTATTTCATTCATGTTTATTGTAATATATTTTTTGTTTTGTAAATATGTTACACACAACAAAATGTGATTGGTCTAAAATATTTGTAATGTATATTAAAAGGCTCAAAAATATTTGTAGAAACAAGTTATTTTTGCACTTATAGGAATTTAATGACAAGTTTGAGTTATATCTTCTGACATGGTTCACTTTTAAGAAAAGTTATGGGAAAAGAATATGAAAAGCATTTAATACAATTGCATCATAATGTAATCTGAGAGGATTTCTGGATTTATACTTTAACCACCCCCATACCGCCCTTTCCCCTACACACACACACACACTTACTTTGGATCATGCTACAAAAACACTATGTTTCAAAAAGAATCAGCATAGAAATTCTGGTTTACTAGATAGAATATTAATGGATATTCAAAGCTGTGTTTGTATGCTGAAGCAAAGGGATTGATCCTGGGAGTCTGGGACTTTGTCAAAACAGATACAGCTGACCCCTGAAAAGTGCGAGGATTAGGGTTTCTGACCCCCCACACTCTCAAAAATCCACGTATAACTTTTGATTCCCCAAAAACTTAACCACTAATAGCCTTTGACCAGGAGCCTTACTGATAACAAAGTCAATTGACAGATATTTTGTATGTATATGTATATAATACAGTGTAATGTATAATGTTCTGTATTACAGAATACTGTCTTCGCACAATAAAATAAGCTAGAAAAAAGAAAATGTAAAGAAAATCACAAGGAAGAGAAAACACATTTACAGTACTGTGCTGTATTTATTGAAAAAAATCCACGTATAAATGGACCTGTACAGGTCAGACCTGTGTTGTTCAAGGGTCAACTGTATTTTAGTTCTTTAAGGATAGAAGCAGCATGTTCATTTGGAAGCACATGCTGCAAATCAAAAGCATTTGAATCATCCCTGTACTGTCTCTGTCTGGAATAATGTTCAAGTTGGATCCTAATACCGCTGATGAAACACCATTGTGTAAGGAGTGAACACAAGTGTTGAATTCCAGAAACAGTTATCACAGCAACAGGACACTTTCCCTGCTGGAAACATCTATAAGGGAGTTTAAGTCAAGTAAATAGGTTTTGGTTGTTCTTTTTAAAGATAAATCATGGTGTTTGTCTTAATGGTACAGTATTGGTTTGAGATCAGAAGACTGCCTTTAAATCCTGGTTTTTCTACTTAAGGACTGTCATATTCGACAAGTTTCTTAAATTAAGGCTTAATTTTATCACCTGTACAATAGAGATAATTGGAGCAACCCTGCAATGGAGGAATTAGGGACCGTATATAAACTGCTATCAAGAGAGTACTCACGAAATAGGAGCTATTGTCATTGTTACTGATTGTAGGACAAAGTAGATCACTGCAGGTCAGTATTGGGGCTGGAATTACATTGAAACCTTGGGTTGTAGGGAGTGAACAACACAAATAGAAAAAAAGCTTCAAAAGAAATTTGTGCCTTTGGCCCTTATTTCCATATCCTTGGAATGACAGAGATCTGCCTGCGTAAAATGGCAGAGATTTGAATTGTAGGTTCTGTAAAGGGAATGGCTGTGTGAAAAGAAGGAGTGGTTGAGAGTTAGGGAGGGAAACTAACATTGACTGATTTCAATGGTTGCATCACCCTTGGTTTTAACTTAAGAATTGATTCGAGAGCCTACCCCAGTGCAGATGGATGCCACTGCATCTATCTTGCATGCACGACCCTAGGTGCTATGATATACATTTGTTTTCTCATTTAATTCTCAAAAAGTTCTGAGAGGCAGTTTTTGTAAATCCTACCTCCTGGAGACATTTACCCAGAGCTGGGGTTTGAAGCTAGATCTTTTCTGTAGGATAGGGAGAGATGGTACTGTGGATGACAAACTTACTAACTTTTGTTAATTCAACCAATATTTTGTGTAAACTGTATGCCAGGTACTAATAGATATGTAAGGGAAAATCAAAATGAACAAATGGATTTGATTGCCCTGTAAAACACAGGAGGTTGCTGTTCTTCTAATTCCTACAACAGATTTAGAGGGAGTAGTACGAGTGCTGACTGTCTGACTGTAGAGTTGGACAGTTTTGGGTTGTATCTCAGCTTCTCTACTCCCTAGTTACTATTTGAGCCTCAGTTTTCCCATCTGCAAGATGGAGATAATATAACCTAGTTCATAGTGTGAGGGAATTCAATGCCTGGAGAGAATATGACAGTTTATCTAAAGTGGTTCACTAAAGTCCTAGGCAGCATGATGGAAGACATGGATCTTACACATCCAAGTTGGGGGTAGGTTCCAGCTTCTGAGGTTTTACTTTGTTTTTTGGTGACTCTTATTCTTGAGGAAACATGGAATGGGTAAGTGGAAGAACAATTTTTCAGTGCAGCATCTGGCAAAAGGAAAGCAGATTTTCTCAGGGGATGGTTAAAGCCTTTAGAAAGAGGCTTTCTCTTTTAGAGTATTTAGTAAACTGGAAAGGACAGATGGCGTGGGCAGGAACCTTGTTGGGAACTGCGATATTGTGATTTATAAGAAGTATATATCTAATCACTTAGATGACCAAAATATTTTTCTTACATATATTTGGTCTTCATCCACAGTTCCTGGCTCACTGCTCCCAAAACCCTTGGAATTCCCTTAAGTGTAGAGAGTGATAAAGATGTCTTTTTTAATGAGGTGACTTTTGGAAAGCGTCTAAGGATCCAGCTGGTTGCCAATGGAGCCAACCACGTTTTTAAGAGGGTTGGTACTTGCAGTCCTATCCCATGACCTCCGGGGAGGGGAGAGGGGCTGGAGGTTGAATCAGTTGCCAATGGCCAGTGATTTAATTGATTGTGTCTATGTAATGAAGCCTCCATAAAAACCCAGAAGAGGGGCACCTGGGTGGCTCAGTTGGTTAGGCGACTGCCTTCCGCTCGGGTCATGATCCTGGAGTCCCGCATCGGGCTCCCTGCTCAGTGGAGTCTGCTCCTCCCTCTGACCCTACCCCCTCTCATGCTCGCTCTCTGTCTCAAATAAATAAAATCTTAAAACAACAACAACAACCCAGAAGCATTGGGTTCAGAGGGCTTCCAGTTGGTGAATGCCTAGAGATGTGGACAGAGGGGTACACCTGGAGCGGGCACATAAGCTCAGTGTCCTTTCCCCACACCTTGCCCTATCCATCTCTTCCATCTGGCTGTTCCTGAGTGGATAGCCTTTTAAAATAAACCAGTGATCTAGTAAGCAAAATGTTTCTTTGAATTCTGTAAGCTGCTCTAGCAAATTAATCAAACAGGAGGAGGTCCTGGGAACCTCTGATTTATAGCCAGTCCATCAGAAGTACAGGTAACAACCTCGACTCAAAACTGGTGTCTCAAGTCCAAGGTAGGTCAGAAGCATAGGTAACGACCAGGCTTGTGACTGGCGTTGGAGGGTGAGAGGTGCAGAGTCTTTTAGGACTAAACCCTTAACCTGTGGAATTTGATGCTATCTTCAGGTAGATAGTGTCAAAATTGAACTGAATTGTGGGACACCCTGTTGGTGTCCAAGAATTGCTTGGTGTTGTGTGGGAAGCTTTCCTACCCCACTCCCAACCCCCTCCCACACACACTTAGAAATAAGGTCCAGGAACCTAATTTAGAGACGAATACTGACTCTGCATTTTTCTGATTCCAGACATTACCCCTGAGCAAACACCTCATCTTTTTGCTTCTCACCGTCTTTCAGTTTCTTACTGCTAAGCCTAAGGCACTCAAACCAAGCTGCACCTCTGAGGTAATGTCACTTTTCTCCAAAATCACTTCCCTTCTATGGGACTGGCCTCAGGCTGACTTGGAAGGCTCCAGCAAACCTTTATATATGGCTTTTCAAACACTTGCTGGATGTCTGGGAATAGAAAGGGAAATGGGGAGATCTGACCCCACAGAAAATCCTAATCAATTAAGGGGGAAAAAGTCTGCTTTCTCATGAGAGCAGCTTGGCACTATGGTAAAGGAGTTAAAAAAGACAGGCTTCCAGCCTATGGCTGGCTGATAGGCAGTTTCCCCTGAATGCTTTAACAGGTATTAGAAAGCATACGATACTCAGAAGAGGGAAAAAGACATTCTCAACAATTTTGAGTAGATTGCAGGCTACAAAGTAGAGCACAGTGTAATTCTGGACCTGCAGGGGTCTACAGTGAGCCAGGTATTAGCAACACAATGTTTTTAATAAGTGTACCTTACATCTACGAGGAGAAATGGGACAGGCTAGAAAAACAAATTCACAGTTTTCAAAAGGTAAACTGAATGGGAATCCTGAAAGGTGGTGGTGGTGAGAATTTGTACTTCTCAGGCAGCCAGGGGAACCCCTTTATCTTTCAGTCTCTGAAAATTAGAAAAAAGCAATAGAAAAGGGGCAGCAGCAGTTCTCAGCTACAATGAGGCATAAGTGGCCTGTAATTCAACCTCCAAAGAACTGGAAGTCCTACCTTTTCTGAGCCTCTTTTCATAAAGGTAAAATAAAGCACTGGATCAAATGGCTTTTAAGATCTCTTCCAGATTGGCCCCACCAAGACAAAACTCCCCATTCCTGCGAGGAAAAGTAAGTACAAAATGGCCCCAGGAAGTTTAAATTGGCCTGGGTTACCTGCAGACTTTGAGGTCCTAAGGTGTAAGAATAATATTTATTTAAAGGTTCATGAACGTTTCAGACGGAAAAGAGGTTATTGGTCTTTGTCTCTCTAAATAAACCAGGGTGTAAGGGAGAAAACGAGCGCTTGAAAAGTGTTAAGTTAGTATTAAGCAAGGCAGGTCCATGCAAATGCCAAGATCTTCAGGAGGGATGTCTCCTCGGGGCCTTTTCTCTGGTGCTCCCATCTCCAGCTCGGAAGCAGTCACAGTCAGGTAAACGCAGACCCGCACACACACAGAAGCACGTTGGGGCTCAGAGAATAATACTGCTCAGTAAGTGGGTGTCCCTTCCTTCCCTACCGATTGTAATTTCCCTCCTTCCTTCTCCCCACTTTCTCGTTCTCCACCCTCAGGCAGAGATTCCTTGTAGCCAGGAACCGCAATTCTGGGTCTTGGTTGCGCTGGACCTGCACTGGGTTGGCTGCGCTGGAGTGTCTTGGCCCGGGGACCCAGCGGTGCGGGAGGAGCCGAGGCCCCAGCCGACGTCTTACTGTTGTCAGCGACAGTTGCCAGCCGACGGATTGAAGGAGTGAACGTGGGGCAGGTTCGGGGATTACCCGTAGGACTCAGGATCTAGGAGGAGGGCTCCAGCGGCAAGGTCGGGTTTACACGCTGAGACTTCGTTTCCAGGACAAGCTCAGGACCTGGATCACTGGGTGGGACGGAACTCTGCGGGCTAGAGGCGGGATTATGGACGAACTGGGCGGGGCTTTGCGCGGCGCGGGGGGGGGCCCCTGCGTGGCGGGAGTGAGCTTGGGACCCGCTGGGATCCGGCTCTGAGTGGAGGGGCAGAGGCGATAGGGAACGGCGGGGGCAGGGCTCTGAGTGGCGAGGCCGGGAGAGATCGAGACCCCAGCCGCCGGGCTGTATGCATCTGGAGTGAACTTGAAACCCACAAGGGACTGGCATGGGTGGGACTCCGCGTGGCGGATCCTAGACAAACAGGGCGGGGCTGTGCGTGTCCGGGAGGGGCGGATCGGGACCGGGAGGAGCGGATCGGGACCGGCAGGGGCGGGGCTCGGCGTAGCGGATCTTGGACGAGCAGGGGCGGGGCTGTGCGTGGCGGGGCGGGGAGGATCGGGATCGCCAGGGGCGGGGCTCTGCGATGTGAGTCTTGGACCAACAGGGGCGGGGCTCCGGGTGGAGGGGCGGGGAAGATCGGGACCGGCAGGGGCGGGGCTCTGCGAGACGGGTTTCGGACCCCAGGGGCGGGGCTCTGGGGAGCGGGGCGGGGCGGATCTGGACCGGCAGGGGCGGGGCTCCGTGTGAAGGGGCGGGCCCGGGACCCGCGGTGCGGTGCGGGGCCGGGTCTGGGCTGCAGCCGGGCCGTGGCAGGAAGCCGGAAGCAGCCGCGGCCCCAGCTCGGGAGATATGGCGGGTGTTAAAGGTATATGCGTGGCCCCCCGCTCGCTCCCTGGTCCTGCGGTGGGGTGTCGCCTCCGTCCCGGGCTAAGCCTGGAACTGAGCCTTCAGCGCGTGGGCGGGGAACGGCATCCCCTAGGCCCGCCGCCCTCCTTGCCTCTCGGGGCGGGGGGAGGCGTTCGCCCTCTCCCTTTGCCCCGCGGGGTGCGGGTGGAATCTCACTGGTCTTCACGCTCTTGCCAGGCTCTCCGGGGCCTTCCAGGCGGAGCCAGGAGCAGTGCCTTCCCGGGACACCCGGCCTGGCCCTTGGCATTACCTCCCGGCTCCTCAGTTCCTCGGAGCGCCCCCCCGCCCCCACCTCTGCCGAGTTTTAAACAGACTGGGTTTCCACTTCCTGACATGTCCACCCTAACGCCTCTCCTCCCTCTTCCTGCAGCTCCGCAGTTTCCCATTTCCTCCAGAGCAGCCATTGTCTCTAGTCTTCTCGGTACCGGGGCTCTTAATCTTCTCGGTACTGAATTTTTCCAGTTGAGCAGAGTTGACTGCAGGCAACGGAAAGCCCCCAGAAATTCTGTATTTCTCGTAGTTGTGGATTAGGTGGAATGTTATCGCTACTTTCTTTAGTGTTTATGGACGGACAAGAAAGTAGTGTTTGCACAGTACGTTTTTGAATGGGGTAGTTAAAAAAGGGGGTACCGAGAATACCCCTTCCCTTATCTGTATGCCTTTAGAGAAATGGGAGATGGCAGCGGTGGGAGAGGCTATTGGAAGGCTTCCTGTTATTTTCGTGGGAAACCATTCGATTTCTAATGTTTGATTGAGTAGTGTAACTTGTTTCTATGTTGGAATTACTGTCCTCTTTGGAATTTGTACCCAAGGATTTTCCTGGTTAATCAGTATCTGCTATAAACATGTATAGAGAGATTTGCGTGCATGTGTGTGCACTCTGAAATTTGAGTATGTGAGCTCTTAGCGGCAGACACATTTTATCATTATTTCTGGCTGACTTTTATATCAGTTTAGTAAATACGATATACTTGGACGGTGTCCAGTGTGTGACATGTCTGTTTGAAGCCAGTGCAGAACAGGTGATAATTAGTATCTCAGTACTGCACTGTGCTGTTTAGTCATGCCCCCAAACTATCAAATAATAAAAATGGTTATGTGTAAATGTGGTAGAAATTGTGTTGTAGTGAAAAAGAAGATAGACTATGAAATGGAAAAGGACTAAAGGAAAAAAGCATTTTACAGATAGTTCACCTTTTATTGAGGGACTATACAGTATGCCTATGACTTGGGATAAAAAGATAAAAGTAATTTTGGGGTGACAGAACTGGAAATAATTATATTACTGTTGAAGTGGCCAAGGTGTGCTTAGATAACAGGAGGAGCACAGTGATGGTGTTGTGGATTGAATTGTATCCCTCAAAAGAAGTGGTCATGTTCTAACTCCCCAGTACCTGTGAATGTGACCTTATTTGGGAATAGGATCTTGGCAGATGTTATCAAGTTAAGATGATATTGGATTAGAGTGTGCCCTAATCCAGTGAGTGGTGTCCTTGTAAAAAAGGAAGTTTGCATGTAGAGACATAGGGAGAACACCACATGGAAACAGAGGCAAAAACTGGAACGATGCAGGTAGACACCAAGAAGCACCAAAGATTGCCAGTGACCACCAGGAGTTAGGAAAAAGCAAGGAAAGTTTCTTGCCTTAGAACCTTCAGAGGAAGCATGGCCCTGCCAACACCTTGATTAGAGACATCAAGGCTCCAGAACTGTGAGAAAATAAAATCCTCTGGTTCTAAAGGGTCCACTTTGTAGTACATTTATAGCAGCCCCAGGAAACTCACACAAATGGGATTATTTAACCCTGCTCCTGGGAGAAAGAGGACTGCTTTCACTAAAGAGGCAATTTTGCATTGAATCTAAAAAGGTCAGTAAGGTAAATGGAGCAAGGACGGAGTTTTTTCCAAGTGGAGAGAACATGTGCCAAACAACTCCGCAGGCTGTGAGAGCAGCTGTAAAGGGGCGATACCATCGCTGTTTATTTGAGAGATCACTGCCTGCCACGTGGAGGATGGATTGCAAGAGTCACAGTTGGAGGCAGGTGTGAGATGGTGAGGGCGGGTTCAAGAGAAGAGGGTGGACATCTCATTCCTTTAGGGCTGCTCTAACAAAAATGCCAGAAACTGGGTGGCATAAACAGCAAACGTTTATTTCTCAGTCCTGGATCCCGAGAAGTCCAAGATCAAGGTGTCAACAGATTCAGGGTCTGGTGAATGTCTGCTTAGTGATTTATAGACTGCGGTATTCTCGCTGTGTCCTCCTCACGTGATAGAGCAGGCAAGGGAGCTCCGGAGTCCCATCCATGAGGGCCCCTCCTTCATGACCTAATCGCCTCCCGGAAGCTTCAAATACCATGACATTGGCACTAGGATTTAACATGAGTCTGGGGAGGGGATACACTCATTCAGTCTATAGCAGTAGGTGTGAGTGACAACTGGGAGATTGAGTCACCTTGACTTGCTAATTTTCTCTAAGACAGAGTGTGATGATAGTGTTGGTTGGTCTTTCAAGATAGAACTTAAAGGGGCGCCTGGGTGGCTCAAGTCGGTTAAGCATCTGCCTTTGGCTCAGGTCATGATCCCAGGGTCCTGGGATGCAGCCTCACATCCGGCTCCCTGCTCAGTGGGGAGCCTGCTTCTCCCTCTCCCTCTGCCTGTCGCTCCCCCTGCTTGTGCTTGTTCTCTCTGTCAAATAAATAAATAAAACCTTAAAAAAAAAAAGATAGAACTTAAAGGGAAGAAGTGTGTTTGGAAGGAGAGGGTGGGATGTTTCAGTTTAACACATGTTGAATTTGAGGTCCTTGTTGGCTACCCAGGCAGAGAAGTCCAGAGTGGAGTAGGAGGTGCAGGCCTAGTTCTTAGGACCTGTTCTGGGCTGCAACATCAGATGTGGCTTGGCCCTTGTGGTACCAGGGAGCTTTGGGTTGAATGCAGTGTCTCAGTAGAAATGTACAGTGGAAAGAAATGAAATTGGATTCCTGGTTAGATCCAACTTTAAAAGATGGCAGAGGATGTGATTCCTGAAAAAAGAAAAAAAAGAATCAGCTGGAGGTACATTTGTGACCCTTGAGAGATCAGTGTCACAGAACAGAGAGAAGACATCTATGGTTCCTAGCTTTGAAAGGTCTGCAGGAGGGAGTGATGCAGATGGTCAGGCACAGTGCCAATCAGGAAAAGACCATCTGTCATGAAAAATGTGAAAAGTTAGTTTTGTAAGCTTTTCTTTAAAGAGTGACATGTACTACATGGAAAAATATAAAAATTAAAATTGACAGCCCTTCCTTGTCCCCTAATGTCTGTATACTTGCAGATGTTTTTAAAAAGCACCTTGGCATCTTCCTATAAGACAGTCTTCCCAAATCTCTTAAAGTAAAAGGAAGCAATCAAAATGTTAATTAAGTTACTGAATAATTTTGAGCATTATGGATTTTTTCAGAAGGAAATTTGGCTAAATTGTGTCCTGTGCTTTGGGTTTATACCTTTAGGAAAGAACGTTGCTAAAAAGAGCAGATCCTTCATCAGGCAACCTTTCTTTATGGAGCACCTCCTTTTGCCAGACACTTCCCATAGATTATCTCCTTTATTTCCCATCAGCTCCATGATAAGGTGGTACCGTTTATTCCCATTTCACAGGTGAGAAATCAGATGGAGAGAGGTTCGGTTTCTCTCTGAGGTCACACAACCAGTTGGTGGCAGTGTTAAGATTTGAACCCCTGTTGGTGGTGACTCAGAGCTCAAGATTCTTTAACGGCCCTAATGCTCTGTCTCCCACTCAGCAGAGTTACAAGGACAAATACGTTCCTGCCCCCTCAGAGATTAGTGTTGAACAAATGCAGGGAATAAATATTTTATTTGGTGGATACTAGTTGGGAATAATTTTCTATGAAGAAAGCAGTCTTCAAATATTGAAGTACTGTGGTTGGGGGAGGCAAAATGATCAAAGGGTATGTATATTACTGTGAGGTAGTTTGGGATATAATTTAGAGAGAGGATTTTCAGCATTTGGATACTGTCAGAAGAAGATGATCTGCCTCAGGTGGTCGTGAGTTCCCTTCACTGGAGTTGTGCAGACAGGCTGGCTGGCCTCTTATGATGAAAAGAGGGAATTTATGTATTAGATAGGGATTGGGAAATGCTTGAGACCTTTCTCACCTAATGATTTTAAAGTGGTGGGCATAGGCAGTCATTTGCCAGTCAAATGTGACATCAGCTAATGAAATAGGTAAATCACTATCTTTGCTTAAATTGGGAACCTTTTAATTCTTTCTTTAATTGAATGTTTTTATTGAGGTATAAATCACATACCATAAAATTAACCCTTTTAAAGTGTAAAATTGGGGGTGCCTGGGTAGTTCAGTTGGTTAAGCGTCTGCCTTCTGCTCAGGTCATGACCCCGGGGTCCTGGGCTTGAGCCCCACGTCGGGCTCCCTGCTCAGCGGGGAGCCTGTTTCTCCCTCTCCCTCTGCTGCTCCCCCTGTTTGTGCTCTCTCTGTCAAATAAATAAATAAAATCTTAAAAAAAAAAGTGTAAAATTCTGGGGTTTTTAGTATATTCACAAGGTTGTGCAACCATCACTACTAGTTAATTCCAGAACATTTCATCACCCGCAGAAGAAACTCCATACCCATTAGTAAGCACTCCCCCACTCCTCCCCTCCTCCCCTAGCCCCTGGCAACCACTGATCTGGGATCTTTAACTCTTGGTTTTATTTTTCACAGCTCTCGTGGCATTATCCTTCAGTGGAGCTATTGGGCTGACTTTTCTCATGCTGGGATGTGCCTTAGAAGATTATGGGTAAGTTATCATCTCCAAAAGAACTATTCCTGTTTTTGTACCTTCATCACCATTAGTATGAGTGTTAGCAAGTTTGGTCAGTGTAGCACCAAGTGAAGTCCAGGTCCCTTCACGGGTCAGTTGTATCTGTACAGAGAGAAAAGTTCTTTTTAAACTTGATGTATTCATTTAGTAAGCACTGACTGAGCACCTACTCTGGACCAGCTGGGGATACAAGAATGAAGAGACACAATCCTGTCCTTAAGGATCTCACAGTTGTTGTGCCTGAGAGGCAGGCAGGCAGGCAGCAATCCAGTTGATCTGTAGTGGAGTTGAGTGCAAAGGACACTGAGCGCTTTGAGAAGGCGTATTTGAGTCTCCCTGGGAGAGTCAGGGAGAGCTGCAGAGAAGCAGTGCTCTTTAAGCCGAGACGTGGTGCCTGCATAAGAGTTTGTGGGGCTGATGAGTTAGAGGAGGGCATTCCAGGCAGAGGGAACATTCAAGAAAATTTCTTTATTCAGCAGCTGTTAGTCGAGTGCTTACCATGTAGCAGCCACCGTTACGGGAACGGAGGATTAAGAGCTGAGAGACCCAAGGCCCTGCTCTCTTAGGGGGTGTATTTCAGTGGGGGAGACAGACAATAAACGGATTCAAAAATGTCCATTCTATCAGTGGCAGAAATGTTATGAAGAATAAAGGATAAAGGGCACAGAGGCCTGGGAGAGAGTGGTCAGGGCAGGCCTCTTGGAGAGGGTACCATGTGAGCAGAAATGTAAAGGAAATAAGGAAGCAGGCCATGCGGATAACTGGGGAAGGAGGACTTTGGGCAGTAGGGAAGTCCTATGCTGAGGCTTACAGACATGAGAGCATATAGACTGTTGAGGAAACCACATGTGGTTCATTATGGTACAGCATAGAGTGTAGCTGGGGTGGGCAGAAGAAGGGTTGGTCAAGGATGTGGAATCAGTCAGCCTTTAGGGCGCTGTATGCCATGTGAAGGAGGTGAGATTTTATACTTCAGGCAGTAGGAGCTGGAGAAGTATCTCGAGAATAGGTTTAGAGGGTGAGGGGGTTTACGTTTTAAGAAGGTCAATCTGACCCAAGTGTGAGTGTGGGTAGCAAGGTGCTGAGAGTGCAGTCAGGGTGAGTAGCAGGGCACTGCTGTCATAAGTCAGGCAGAATGTAGGGCCATGGCAGTAGCAGTGGGAAGAAAGGAAGGAGAGAAATCCAGGTTGGCAGAACTAACAGGTTTTGTTAACTGACGTCAGGGTTCAGCAAGGGGAAAGGGTTTGGGGTTGCCTCCCAGGTGATTGGCGTGAGCAACTAACTGCACAGAAGATGATGGAACTAACTTAAACCAACTGGAGCAAGTCAGTAGGATATTGATGAGTTCAAATCTCTCACCCCAGGGGTGCCTTGGTGGCTCAGTCGGTTGAGAAATTAGTTTTGTATCTTAACGATGATAACCTGGGATTATCGTCTACATTAGGAGTCAGCAAACTGGCACACAGGCCAAATATGGCCTGATGCCTATTTTTGTAATTAACATTTTATCAGAACTCAGCGACGCTCATTTAGGTACTATTTTTGGCTACTTTTCTACTACAGGGACAGAGTAGTTGAGAGAGAGAGCTTGCAGCTTGTAAAGTCTAAAATATTTACTGTTTGATCTTTGCAGAAGAAGTTTGCCAATCTCTGGCCTACATGTATTCTGAAAGTTAACATTTAATATTTAAATTTTGTGTATAAACAAGGTTGCTTCTATATTAACAGTTCTTGTAGGTGAATATTGATGGCTTACTGTGAATGGGAATTTAGTCTCCTACATTGTTCTACAGAAAACTCTCACTGTGTTCTAGGAAGAATTAAGAGCTCCTGGCTGTGGGCATGTCAGGTCCCAGCTGGCTCTATTCCAGACTTCTTCTCCTCTCTGTATCTCCATTTCCTCACTGGTAAAATAAGGACTTTGAACTAGAGAATCTCTAAAGGCCCTTCACCGATACTGTTTGGTGATTCTTGAAACACACAAAAATCCCTGTAATTTGAAATCAGGAGTTAAAATTCAATGTTTACATCCTGAGTCCTCTTGATGAAGGTTCCTTTCCCTTCTCGCTTTCTGGTTACTATCCTGCACTCCTAATCTGTGGCTGAAAGAAGCTTTCATCACAGTGTAGCTTTACCACAACCTCCGCTTAGAGGTGCCGGCTCTCAGGGTGGGTCTCCATCGTGGTGCTATGTATTTCTGGGATGTGGCTATCTAAACGTGAGTAGAGACTGTGCTTTTTTTCACTTAAGGAATGAAGCATAATAAACATCTACCTGATGGAGAAACATATTTTTGAAGTAGTTATAGAGAAAATGTAATTGAAAAGCAGATGGCAATTTTTAAAATAATGCAAAACATTACAGTATTATAGTTGCCTCTTACAGTAAAGGCTATCTAAAATTTTTGCTAGTAAGCATATTTATTTTTATAACTTTCATACTTAAAAGTCATTTTGTTTATTCAGTAAGTATTAATGGAATACCTCATTCTAGGCCATGGAGATAAATGGTGATTGATTAAGACAAATTAGATTCTTGTTCACATAACAAGGAAATATCAAATAGGGATAAGTGTGTGCAAAAAGTTAAGAGAGCAGTGTACTTAGGGTAACTTGAAGTATTTAAAATGGACAGTCAGTTTTATTTCATATAACATGATATCCTCTGTGTTCATCCATGTCATCACAAATGCAAGAACTCATTCTTTTTTATGGCTGAGTAATATTCGTGTGTGTGTGTGTGTGTGTGTGTGTGTGTGTATGTATGTATCTCCCATATCTTCTTTATCTCTTCGTCTATTGATGGACTTTTGGGTTACTTCTGTATCCTGGCTATTATAAATAATGCTGCAGTGAACATAGATATGCATATGTCTTTTTCAAATTAGTGTTTTTTTGTTTTCTTTGGGTAGATACCCAGTAGTGGAATTACTGGATCATATGGTAACTCTGATTTTTTTTTTTTTTTGAGGAACCTCCATACTGTTTTTCACAGTGGTCGCACCAATTTGCATTCCTATCAGCAGTGCACAAGGGTTCCCTTTTTTCCACATTCTTGCCAATACTTGTTTTATTTTGTCTTTTTGATACTAGCCATTCCGACTGGTGTAAGATAATATCTCATTGTGGTTTTGATTTGCATTTCCCTGTTGTTGAGTGATGGTTGAGCATCTTTTCATGTGTCTGTTGGCCATCTGTATTTCTTCTTTGGAAAAATATCTGTTCAGGTCCTCTGCCTTTCTTAAATTGGATTACTTGGGGGTTTTTTTGGTGTTGAATTGTATAAGTTCTTTATATATTTAGGATATTAACATCTTACTGGATATATCATTTGCAAATATCTTCTCCCATTCAGTAGGTTACCTTTTCGTTTTATTAATGGTTTCCTTCACTGTGCAAAAGTTTTTTATTTTAATGTAGTCCCAGTAGTTTAATTTTGCTTTTGTTTCCCTTGCCTGTGGAGACGTATCTAGGAAAATGTTACTAAGGCTGATGTCAGAGATTATTGCCTGTGTTTTCTTCTAGGAGTTTTATGGTTTCAGATGTCACTTTTAGGTCTTTAGTCCATTTTGAGTCTGTTTTTATATATGATGTAAGAAAGTGGTCCAGTTTCATTCATTTGCATGTAGCTATTCAGGTTTCCTACCACCACTTATTGAGGAGAACAAACTGATGGTTGGTTTGGGAGGTGGAGGGATGGGCAGAATGGGCGAAGGGCAGTGAGAGATGCAGGCTTCCAGTTATGGAATGAATAAGTCACGGGGTTAAAAGGCACATAAAAGGCACAGCATAGGAAATAGAGTCAGTGGCATCATAATAGTGATCTATGGAGACAGGTGGTAGCTACACTTGTGAACATAACATAATGTATAGACTTGTTGAATCACTGTGTTGTACACCTGAAAACTATTGTAACATTGTGTGTCAACTATACTTCAATAAAAAATGATAATAATAATAAATAAATAAAATTAAATGGTTAGGAAGAGCCACTTGTAGAAGGAGACCTCTCAGTTTAGATTACATAAGAAGGAGCCAGACAATGCGAAGAGTAGGAGGGGAGCATTCCAAGCAGAGGGCATGGCTAGTGCAGAAGCCTTAAGACAGGGATGAGCTCAGATGTTCAAGGAACAGAAAAAAGGCTGGTGTGGCTATTGAGTGGATGAAGAGAAGATGGCACAAAATGAATGGATCATACAAAGCTTTCTAGGCCAGGGCAAGGAATCTGTGTTTTTCTAAGCCACTGAAAGGTTTCCAACATGCATATACTCAAAAGACCTCTACTGAATTAGCATGTTCAAAGCACTGTACTGTGTTCTGTAGGGAAAGCAAAGATAACTAGGTGAAGTCATCTTCACTAAGTGAAGATTCTGTCTTTAAGAAATTACAGCTCAGGGGGCGCCTGGGTGGCTCAGTCCTGGAATCCTGCTCAGCGGGGAGCCTGCTTCTCCCTCTGCCTGCAGCTCCTCCTGCTTGTGCTCTCTCTCTGTCAAATAAATAAATAAAATCTTAAAAAAAAAATTTACAGCTCACTAATAACGGAAAACAATAAAGATTCTAGATTACACATTGTGTAGTTGTTTTTTTTTTTTTTAAACACCATGTAAATTATATACGTATTAACGGACTAGTAATTTTTAATCATTACATCTTATCTGTTCCTGGTATAAATCATCTCATGTACGAGTATTGACAACTAAATGAATGATTGTTTGACCTAGACATTGAAGATGCTTCTGACTTTGAAATGGCAGCGTGTCTTTAAAATGTAACCATAACTTCTCTTTCTGCGTTTCTTCTGGGTCCACCCGACAGCGTTTACTGGCCCTTGTTTGTCCTGATATTTCATGTCATCTCTCCCATCCCCTATTTCATTGCCAAAAGAGCAACTTATGACTCCGACGCCACAAGTAGTGCCTGCCGGGAGCTGGCGTATTTTTTCACTACTGGAATTGTTGTCTCTGCCTTTGGATTTCCTGTTATTCTTGCCCGTGTGTCTGTGGTAAGTTTTGTCTTCTATTGTTTTGCCCAGTTGTTGCTGAGTTTACTTCAGAGGCCTGTGTCCAGAACATCGATTTCATTTCCAGTGCTTAGGCTTAATACTCAAATCCAGACGTGTTTTTAGTTTCTCTCTTCCATTGTAGATCTCCCTCTCAGTGTCTTGGCCATGTTTTCCGAATGCTCTCTTTGTTTCTCTCACAACTTTTAGCCAGACCATGTGATTTCTTGCTTTTTCGACTTTAAGCTATTTTCTGGAATTGTACTTAAGTCCTTGCCTCTTAGGGCAATCCACGGAGACTATGATAGCAGTGCTCTTCTGGTTCCAAAGTGAGCATCACATCACATTCTTCTGCAAATAGGATCATGGACACAATTTTCAACCCAATACATTTGGCATATTTTGAGGGACTACTACATGGTCTCTAGAAGATACAGTGAATAAGATGCCATCTTCACAGCTAATATAAAATTTTTCTTTTTGTCTCCAAAACACACATTGTGGGTATAATTTATTCACTTCTTTGACATTCACTGTCTTTCATCCTACTTGCTTTTATTTCCCCTCACTACATACTGTTTCAATTTCATGAAACTCTTATTTGGGGCATTGGGTGTCTTACTTGGGGCATTGAATCTTTGGAACATCTGCTCTTTGTAAGATACCAGGAATAAGAGCTAGATACTGTCTCTGTTCCAGAGAACACAGAAACTAGCCTGATGGGTAAGTACACTATAAATGTATTATGTGTGGTAATTGAAACATGATCACAATAGGAGCACCAGGAAGAGAGAAATTCCAACTGGCATTTGATGTAGACCTCTAAGGATAAATAAGGTTTTGATTAAAGTAGGGAAGGCTGTTCTATGGAATGGCACCCTAGTGTGAAAAGGCAATATGTAGTATAAAGAACAGTTCAGTATGATGGAGCCAAAAGGATGTGGTTGAGATCGAGGCTAGAAAGGCTAGTGAAGCCCAGTTGGGCAGGCTCTTGAATGCCATACCAGTCTGAACTCTATCTAGATAATGGAGAAGCACTGAAGGTATTTGAATGCAAAATCGTCACGACCTTGTTCTTCTTGTGCCTTAGAATAGTGCTTCTTATGTTTGGCTGTAAGGATTTCTGTTTTACGCATCATGTTTTTTGAAGAACCCCTTTCATTGAGGTTTTCTTTCTACTGGTTAAATTAAAACAAAAAATGCCCACTAGAGGGTACTCTCATCCCCTCCTGTGCCTCTGTGGAACCATCTGCCAAGCTGGAAAGCTGTTTTCATTGGTATGCAGATTATTATTTAAAGCTTAAAAAAGAAACAGACTAATCCATAACTCTCCAATTCCTATTTTTCTGAAAGAAGGCAATGGGTATAGAACTTTCAGTACCCAATATTATAATTGGACCCTTTATATTCTGGCTGCTTGTATTTTACTTAAGGCAATCATCGTCTACTAAAAACAAGTTGAGAAATATGTCTAATGGGGAAAATGATAAGGATGATACAGACTTAATTATCAAGCCTCACGACGTAATTAGGCTAATTACTGAATAGTTCACTCTCTCCCGCCTATTACATCATTAAGCCTTTTTAGCAGTTTTATGTAATATTTCATTGGATGATTCTAATGCAGAAAATAACAGAGACTTTCAAAGAGTGCAATATGAAGAAAGTAAAGATTTAATCCTCTTTTCTTGTGTTTCAGATCAAATGGGGAGCCTGTGGCCTTGTGCTGGCAGGCAATGCAGTCATTTTCCTTACAATTCAAGGTTTTTTCCTTGTATTTGGAAGAGGAGATGATTTTAGCTGGGAGCAGTGGTAGCACATTATTCTGATAAAATGCATTTTATTTCTTAGAAGTCATACTATATGTATTTGTGTGCACATGTGGCCTTTTATTATGAAATTTCATATGCTATTTTTTTATACCTTTATATCCTATTCATTGTAAGAAGGACTACATGAGAAAAAGATTAGTTTTATTTCCAGCCAGCAGACCTCTCCATTTTCTCAAGTTGAATTATGTTACTTGTTTGGCTGTTCATATACTAATGGTGCTCTCAGAAAACACATGAACACAGTCTTGTAGATAGCTGCTCACTCGTGCAATGCACCTTTTGCCTGGGGATGTGCCTGGGTAGGCAGATAACACTGGAGCAAGTCTCCGTTCTGCCCAGGACTTCCAAGATGTACTTGTGGCCCAGAGAGACGGAGGTGGCTCCCTCTTTGTGTTGTAGATAGATCCTTGCTTCTCAGAGTGTGGTCCGAACAGCAATGGCCTCTCCCAGGAGCCAGTACGTCCGGAATCAGAGGCCCCACCAGGGACCCAGCGCATTTTGGATGAGATCCCAAATGAATTATATGTACATGCAAGTGTGATAAGTGCCGTCATAGAGGAATACTTAATCACATCTAGCATCCTTGTCTTCCCTTTGGCTGAACCACTTAACCTCTCTGGGCATTAAGTGGCTCATTTGTAAAAATTGTTTTCCGAGTCTCTTTGGTATTTGTGAAATGTCCAAACCGAAAATCTTGTTCCTCACGTTTGTGGAACTATTCTCACACTGTCTGAAAGGCAGTGGCTGTTTGCACAGTGCTGGGGGAACAGAATCACCCCAGAGCCCCACTTACATGCACCGAGGGAGGCCAGGCTGGAGCCAGTCCCTGCTTTAGCAGGGTGGGCAAGAGCAAACAGGTAATACTGTTTCATTTCCCTTTATAATCACACACTTCTTCCCAGCTGCTTCTCTGTGATGCTGTCCACCTCCACCCTCCCAAACACACATACCCCGAGGTTCCGACTTGCCCTTACTTCCTCACGGCTCTGCCTCTTGCTCTCTATAGAGCCATGGAGCCAAGTAAGCAGGCAGAGGGTGAGCTGCTTAATTTTCTTCCCATGTTGATGTACTTACTGTCTTTCATGCCTTGTAGGTCTATAAAACATCTAATGCCACTTTTAAATGAATCATTGGGAATACCTGTCACGCTGGCTCCTCTAAGCAGTTTTTCTAGTTCAACTTTTTGTCTAAAGTCTGTTGAGAAAGGGAAATATGGGAACTAGAACCACTTGGTGAGAGTATAATGACTTCAAAGCATTGTCAATGTGTGATAACTGATATACATTGAAAACACTGAAATTTTGAAGTTCGGAATCTGAGGAATTAGTATACATTTTCACATTCTGGAGTGATCTGGGACCAGGAGAAGAGAATGGTGATACCTAAAAGGACAGTGTGCAGTTATATTTTGGCCTTGTGCATGATCTTATGTTTTCAAAATTCTATGTACGTACAGAATTGTTGATGTTACTTCCAGTATTTATACTAGAAAAATTATATAGACACTTTATAATTTTAATCAGCATTTTTAATAACACTTGCACTTATTTTATTGTAATAAATTTCTCTTTTAACACAAAAGAAAGTTTAATTTCAAAAGTCTTTATTCTGATGTAGCCTTGCTTAAAAGATAAAGTGAGAATCTCTTGGTGTTCGGAAATGGGCAGTTTGAGCAATAGATTATTGTTCAGTTATAGCAATAAATTTTAAGATACCATTTTGAGTGTCTTGTTGGCTTGTGATAATAATTCTTTTCCTAAAATGGAAATAGTGTTTAATTTATATTCCCCTTTTGCAAAAGTGTCTTTGTTACTTATACATATTTCAAATAACCAAGGTAGCCTTAATATGTAGCCTTAAAGCATTGCCTCTTGATTGTATTTCCAGAATGATATAAAGTACTTGAATAGAGAATATTTATAACTCTTCCCTAATAATGGAATGGGTTTATTGAAGTGATAGATTGTAGAATTTGCTCTGTGTTTAAAAACGAACATTATTCTTAGTGCTTAAGTGTCAATTAAGTAATAAATGTCGATAGGAAGTATTACCATGTATGAATGTACAATACAAAAGTTTCCTTTTGATGACACAAATGTTGGGCATTTTTTTTCCTTATAAAACGTTCGTTTTTTTTCTGTATACCTTAGAAAATATTTTGGAGATTCAGAGCACATTGATTACATTCTAAAACTGAGACTATACATAAAGAATTGCTCACAAGTAAGTAATCTTGTAAAGGGATTCTCTGTCATGTGAAGGGATTCTCTGTCATGTTCCAGACAACTGGCTTACAGGTGGACTTTGAAACATTTTGCCACAGAAAGTGGGAGATTGGTGATTGAGTTCCCAGACCAAGCCTTCTGAGGCAGGCTAACCCCTCCTGTCTTTGACTTCTAATGCTCAGGGAACCTGCCTGAGTTTTGGGGCTCGGAAGCAGGGTAGCATGAACAGGGTGGAGAAAGCAAAGTGTAAATTTTCACCTCTTTTCCTAAGAACAAAGGTCTTTCTTTCATTTTTGCAGCACTTCCCATCCCCTAACGCCCTTGGGGTCCAGGTACTTTCCTCTGAGTTTTGCTGGCCTCCTCTTCTGGTGCGGGGCCTTCCTCCCAGCCTGCCCCACCTGCTGGCTTCCTCCTATGTCCAGATCACCCACCTCTCTGCTCCTACCAGTCAGTTGTCTTAATATGGCTGATACGGTGCGGTGCTGGTCAGACTCCTTCCCAGAAAGAAACTGTGATCATCTCCTCCCTCCCCTGGAACCTACCAGTGCTATGGGCACTTCCCAAGCCCTGCTGCAGCTGCATTTTACAAGGGAGAGCCTTGGAACCCAGTGGCTCACTCACAGCAAATGGCAGAGTTTCAAAGTAAAGTGGAAAAAGCATTCCAGCAGTTTATAGAAGGAAAATAATATTTGGGTTAGGGGCAACCCTCCCATCTCTCTCACCCCTTCCCCCGGGTGAGTTCTCAGCTGGTTGTACTTTTCATGGTTGTTTCTTTTCCTCCACTTAGAAACCCACAGATTTTTCTTACAGTCCTCAAGAAATCTTTGCCTCTGAGGTATTCCCTTGATGAAGACCCTTCTAGAAGCTGAAACATTTCATTAAGTTAATAACATTCCTTATGCTCTCAGGGAAATGCTTAGGAGACGTCACAAAAATGTGCCCTTTTCCAAGTTGGCAAAAAATTCAGATTTTGCACCATAATTTAACAAGATTTTTATGAGGATGCTAGCATTTTCCAAGCATAGTAATTAGTTCACAACTGGGAACTGTTATTTCTGTAAATGGATGTAAGTTGTGTGTTTTAAATTTTTTTCCCCATGCTGCGTCATGAAATACCTTATTTGCAAAAATCCCAGTGTATAATAGCTCATGAATTACAACCTGCTTTGTGGTGGCCGTGCTTCTGGAACAGAGCCAGTGAAACGTGTGTAACTCCGAACGTGACGTGAAAGATCTCCACGACTGCTTTAGAAGGAATTGTATGTGTATGATGAGGATGATTACTTTTTAAATAAAACGTGTCATTTATACTTTAATAAAGACCTTTATGTACATTATTAAACTAAAATGTTTAATTTTAGCAGATTAATTTTCCCAGTATTTTGTTTGGATAATCTTAACGTGACTGTGACCAGTTTTGAGCCTATACTTAACTGTGGTTGAAGAGAAGCAGTCCAGAGATATATGCAAACTGGACGGAATCCAGTTCCTAATTACAGCTTTGCTGTGGCTAACGCTCCCGTGGGTGGAGGTGGGTGTGGGGCCATGGTTCATCAATAATGGCTGTATTGGAAAAGGGAGAAAACTCAACACTTTAAAAAAACTGCTGTACGTACTCTAAAGAAAAGTCTTTTTGTGCACTACAGAAGAAAATGAACTGATGTAAAATACTACTTAACGAATAATGTGTCCTCCCTATGCGTGAAACATTTGGGGAAGATCTGATGTCTTACCAGTGGATTTAGGCAGCTAGATGACAAAGAAACTGAGCTAGTTATTTCTTTGTGTTGCCCAACTAAGTGTAAAGTCAAAGTTTTCGTAGAAATTTAATATCAACATAACCATAAAGAAAAAAACAGTTCCCAAGGAAACTTCTCTGGTCCAACGGTTTGTACATATGCATTTTCATGTAGAAAGCACACTGGATGCGTTGAGAATCCTCCTCTGGGGCTGAGAATGGATATGCCTGGAGAAGTCATACATCTGATACTTAAACAGCATCTCCTGTTTTGAGATTTAAAACATCATCCACAACAACAACAACAGCAGCAAACTTTCCTATTTTGTTTTTTGTTAGCTACATGTGAATAAAATGTCTTATCCAGTCATTATAATTGGGAAGTTATTTTCTCCTTTGTGCTTCCTAAAGTGGCTCTTACAAATTTCCACTGAAGTTATCTGTTTCTTGTTTTTGCAGAAGTAGAAAACAAATGTCTGCTTGTTTGTTTTTTTTTTTTAAGAATTGGTGAAGAATTTAAATTTTAGGACTTTACCTACATTTTTAAAAAGTGTAAGTTTGGGGGCGTCTGGGTGGCTCAGTTGGTTGAGTGACTGCCTTCGGCTCAGGTCATGATCCTGAGTCCCGGGATTGAGTCCCACATCGGGCTTCCTGCTCAGCAGGGAGTCTGCTTCTCCCTCTGACCCTCTTCCCTCTCATGCTATCTCTCATTCTCTCTCTCTCTCTCTCAAATAAATAAATAAAATCTTAAAAAAAAAAGTGCAACTTTGGGCGCCTGGGTGGCTCAGTTTGTTAAGCAACTGCCTTCGGCTCAGGTCATGATCCCGGAGTCCCGGGATCGAGTCCCGCATCGGGCTCCCTGCTCAGCAGGGAGTCTGCTTCTCCCTCTGACCCTCCTCCCTCTCATGCTCTCTGTCTCTCATTCTCTCTCTCACAAATAAATAAAATCTTAAAAAAAAATTTAAAAAGTTAACTTTGTCGAAAATGAATTCCAATTCTGTTTAATTTCCTGTAGTTACCAGGCATAGTGCAAAATTACTAGATGACCATTTTGAAATAATTACTCATGTTCAATATTGGGCATGTAGACAAAGTGGTCCTAATCTTGAGATTGCACATTTGGAGAAGAACATACTCGAAGTCTGCACAGTATCTCTTTATTGTTGATCTCATAATCACAACTGGAAAATATGGTAGGGAAGGGGGGTAAATAGTATGTGGGGCTTTGCGACGTTAGGTAGGGTAGCATGTCTTGTAGGCTTCCTCTTACAGAAGCCATTTGAGTTCAGGCCCAAAAGAGGTGAGAAAGAGAGCAATGTAGATTTCAGAGGACAAATCAATCTTTGTACACATCCTTAAATTAGTTCTTTCAGATGCTTTTCCAGAAGAGCAAAGGTGGGTTGAAGACTATACGCATTTTTTTGTGGTACCAAATCATCTTAATTAGCAATTCCTGAGAATACTGTCCCCCCACCAAAATACATGTTTTTTGTATTAAATGTTTTAAAAATATTACTAATTTATTCAGGAAAAAAAAAACCCAACCTTAATGTTACTTTAAATGGGACATATATTTAAAAACTAGTGATACTGAATTCTTTTTCATACTTTTTCCCCTCTCTCTTTTGTGAATTACTTACATTTCTTTTAGGACATTTCTCTTTTTTATTGATATGTAAGAATTGTATATATACTAAGAATTGTATTTTTCTTATATTCTGCAAAAATATTTTTAAAATCACTCAATTATCTAGCAAGAGGTAGTCCTGTGATTTTTAAACTTGTAGGTTTCCTACCTATAGAACTTTTTGAGTTTTGTGTAGCCAAATACATTAATTTTTTCCCTAAAAATCTGAATTTGTATCTCTTCCTAGAAAGTTCTTCTCGGTTTCAAGAGAAGAGAAACATACTCCCCTAAAGCATTTGTGGGTTCATTAAAAATGCATTTATCTTTAATTCATCTAGAATTTACTTTGGTGAATGATAGGATGCAATAATATCTCTCTGGATATCTTTACCAGGTATCTTAGCTGTTTAATAAGTTGGCTAAATAATTCGTTTAATTTCAAATATCACCTTTAACATATAGTAAAAATTTATATTCGCCTAGTTTATTTCTGATTTTCTCTTCTGTTCTTTTTTGACTTACATGTGTTCCCGAACTGAACTGGTACCACATTTTAAAAAAATGTATGGCTTTTAAATTTGGTAGAATAAGTCTGCAGTGATTTTTCTTTTTTTCCTTAAAGCAAAATTCCAAGTACGTCGGCATTTGTAGCTTGAGAAATAAAAACTACAAGTAAGATAGCTCTTGATCTAGGAATTGAAGCTATGTGTTAGTTGACACTCTGACCAGGTCATGGTCATTGATAAAGAAGAGAGTAAGTCAAGTGTCCATTGTAGATGGCTGAGGAAGTAGCAGCTAGTACCTAAATTGTAGTGATCATTAATTTTAAAGACTAATGAAGGCAACATCAGGAAGACTTTTCTGTGTTCTCTATTTTTCTGCTCTTAATACATTTTTTCATTATTGGAAATTATCCTGATACAGGTTGGAAACTGCTGAAAACAGTGAATTCTTATGGGCTTTTTTATTCTAAATCAAATCAGCCCGATGGCAAACCCCATTGTATCTGAGATAACCCAGATGAATCTTCTGGTTCTCACCAACTTTTAGGGACCTGCCAAATCTGTATTTCTGGGCAGCATTAGCAATTAGAGGAGCTGAAGTTCACGTGTTTTATCAGCTGAAGTTGATTTTGGTTTGGATTTATTTGGACTGTGAACTATTTTAATCAGGACAAATACAGCTAGCATATAGTAGGACTCTGAACATGAAATGGCAATTTAATTGATAGAGAGTTTCTTAGAGAAGGGGTAGTGTAGTAAGATTAAATAGCTTTAGCTAAAAATAGGTTTCTTTTAACAGATTAGATTATGACCTCTATTTCCGCTTTTCTGTGATTGGCAAGTTAGGACTACCTGGTGACATATTAAAGGTGTCTTTAGTTGATTTTCAAGTTTGCCTCTTTCAAACCGGGGGGGAAATTCTCAAGTTCTTCCTTTGCAGTTTGTTTGGGTTTGACATGACTCTTAAAAACATGGGAATAGTGTCTGAGCTGGTAATGGAGTTAAATTAACTCACAGGTAGACCTGATTCACATACCACACAGTTCACCCATTTGTGGAGGGTAGCACAGTAGTTTTTAGTGTATACAAGGAGTTGTGCGAAGGACAGCGCAGTTTTAGAACATTTTCATCATTCCAAATGAAATCTGTATTCTACAGCAGTCACTCATTCCCCCCGCCCCCCGCCCCCTCCTAACTGTCTCAGCCCTAAAAAACCACTAATCTGCCACTTTCTGTCTCTATGGATTTGCCTCTTGGGGACTTCTCATATAAATGGAATCAATAATAGGGACGCCTGGGTGGCTCAGTCAGCTGGGCATCTGCCTTCAGCTCAGCTTATGGTCCCAGGGTCCTGGGATCGAGTCCCGCATTGGGCTCCTTGCTACGCGGGGAGTCTGCTGCTCCCTCTTCCTCTGCCGCTCCCCCTGCTTGTGCTTGCTCTCACTCCCTCTCTGTCTCTGATAGATAAATAAATAAACTCTTAAAAAAAATAAATGGAATCATATAGGGTCTTCTGTGACTGCTAACACTTAGCATGTTTTCTTTCTTTCATTCTAACAAAATATAGTTGGCATTTTCTTTTTAGAAATAGTTTCTATTCAGTTGTCAAATATTTAAGGTGAACAACATGATGTTTTCATAGACACATACATTGTGAAATGATTACTACATTTAAATTAATTAACACATCCACCACCTCCCATAGTTAACAATTTTTTTGTGTGTATGTGGTGAGAACACTTGGGATTTATTCCATTTGCGATTTCAAATATACGATACATTATTATTAACTATAGTCACCAAGCCATACATCAGGTCTCCTGAACTTATTCATCTTGTAACAGAAGTCTTGTACCCTTTGACCAGCCTCTCCCATTTCTTTCCCCCACTCTGCCACTCCTAGCCCCTGATAACCACCATTCTACTCTGTTACCCTGAGTCTGACTTAAAAAAAAATTTTTTTTTAGATTCCACATATAAGTGATAACCATATGATATTTGTCTTTCTCTGTCTAGCTTATTTTACTTATATAATGTCCTCCAGGTCCAGCCATGTTGTTGCAAATGGCAGGATTTCTTTCTTTCTCATGGCTGAATATTCCATTGTAGATCTATATACTATATCTTCTTTACCAGTCATCCATAGATGGACGTTTAGGTAGTTTCCATATCTTAGCTATTCTGAATAATGCTGCAATGAACATGGGAGTGCAGATACCTCTTTGAGATACTGATTTTGTTTCCTTTGGGTATATACCCAAAAGTGGGATTGCTGGATCATACGGTAGTTTTATTTTTGGTTTTTTATTTTTTTCTTTAAATTTTTTATTGTTATGTTAATCACCATACATTACATCATTAGTTTTTGATGTAGTGTTCCATGATTCATTGTTTGTGCATAACACCCAGTGCTCCACGCAGAACGTATTTTTGGTTTTTTAAAAAATTGAGA